ACCACTGACCTAAATTTGCCACCGCACAACATACACAAATTACATATTTCCCGCACCTCTCTCGGGCCTCTAAGTGCGGTTTCTCACAACAATACCCATGATTTCCCTAAAATTATCTGGCCATTCAGTCAATCAACTTAATATTCTTTTATCACCGCGCAGAAGCTCTCTCAGAGAACCATTGATGATGGAATTAAGTGAAATTATTCTCCAATTTCCTCAAACCTTCTCATCGCTTCGCTTCCAGTCGTGTCGGAAGAGTTTCCCGCCGAATTTGTCAGCGCACTGCTGGCCATTAAGGGACTGCCAACCGTTGACGAGGGATCGTCCAGGACATCCTCGTGCACCTGAATGCAAACCACTGCCGAAAATAGTCCACAGGACACCGCGAGGAGTGCAAAATGCCACATAATCCGCCCACAAAACATTCTCGGGACACTTTAAAACCATTCACAAACTTTCCACTGCCTCACGCCCGCGCGTCTTCAGAGCAAAACGTAAATCCATCGACTAAGTGGAAGAAGAGCCCAAAGCTCCACTGTTTATATATACTAAAAGGCAAACGTGCATTTCTATTCAATTACACAAATATAATAGTGCAGCAGGTGAGAGATGATAATTGTTTCGATTTCGAGGTGAAACAATGCCAATTCTCCTGCAAGACAACAACGAAGAATGGCGAGCACGGTAAAAACAGCCTCAAAGTTTTTCCAGCTTATTTTTTTTTCTTCAAAAAAAAGGCTAATTAAAGCATATTAGGGCTTCTATTGTACTTTTTTCTCCACCTCCTCACTCGCAGTTTTACTTTTTACCCACAAGAGTATGTTTATCTTTTGCAATTTCTAATATGCACCTCTGCATGGTGAAAGATCGCGAGAGAGCTGTCTGTTTTTTTCTCTGGTGCTTTGAAGATATGTACATCTGCCATTTCTACAGAAAATGCTAATGAAATTGGAATTGCAAATACGACGGCTTCTACTGCTACACTTTTTGTCGCACATCGTCAACACGAAAGTTAGCATATGTTTCGAGAGGTGAAGAAAGAAAAACCGTCAAGCAGAGTGAAAAATCTTTCTATTTAAGACTCTTGTAACTTTAATCTCTCTGCTGAATATTTCACCGGAACGTGTGATGAACACAAAACCAGATAAACTTCAGTTTTTAAGTGAGCTAATGATTTCCATAAAACTCCACAGATTTATGATGATTGCAATACAAAAAAATGCTACTCTATCAATTTCCACTATTTGTGGTTATATTTAATTGGTATTAAGTTAATAAATATTATGTATTACAACAATTCATCTTAAAGTGCCGGTTAGTCATTTAATGATGTTGTCGATACGTTGCGCTGGTTTTATAATACATTATAGTTCCTGGCCAATTAACTGACAGGAATAGAATTGGGTGTGACTAAAAGTAAAACAATTTCAATTTCTAAAGGTCATGTTGGAGGAGAAGACCTGTTTAGGTACCCAATTACATCGATTGGGCGCAACTTTTACTATCAAAATTGATTAATGATCTCCTGGAAATGCTAATGGGAAAAGCCCATCTTCCCATCAAGCTACTGCAAGTCATTCATGTCCAATTGAGATCTTTCTTCTGCTATGAGTGACAAAACACTTTCTAATCTAGACAGCTGCATTGGTGTTTGGGAGAAAGATCGCACGCGCCAAAAACACTTTTGCGCCCGAGCTGAAGAAAACAATCAACAGATGCAATTACCTGTGGCTGGATTGTCTCTCCGGTGGCGATATTCAGTGCATAGAGAGATAGCTGGAGTGAACAATATGAGCAATCTGTTGTCACGGCGCGGGAGCACGCGGGGAGACGGCGGGGCGCGTGGTTGACAAAAATGCTCAGGTGTGCGCAGGTGATGCTGTGAATGCCGCCAAATCGCGAGACACGGGGGGAAGCATGAGCCACTTGCAGCATGTTCAACATCCATCGACTCGATCTTCATGTGTGGTTTTGTGCGAAACTATATTACTGGGTTATGGAAGCTGGCGAGTACCAGTTGTCTCGTGGACGCCAGCGAGTGACGATCTCGGAGAGTCAGGAGATGGTGATTGGGCGAGAGTGTTCGATATTCCAAAGTTGATTGCTCTAACGGTGTGGTGTTGATTGGTGTGGCGGATTTCCCATTTCTTGTGCACCAAATAATGGACAATTGCAGTGATTAGCCATGAATGAGTTGCTCAAGAAGGTTTGCCTCATTTTCCTCCTGTATGTGGACTGTTTCCGTGTGAGCTGTGGCGACACTATTCACTATACAAACTCACCGAGGCACCTGGGCGTCTCGGAGAACTACACGTCGTACAAGCTCGAGGTGCCCGGATCGGCTCCCATCACCGTGATCGAGGCCAATCGCGGCCCAGCGGGTAGCAATCAGGGCATACGCGGTGTCCAGCAGCGTGACTGGATCGAGAACGCCGAGATTCTGCATCGGCGCAAGAATAGCAAGGCCGAGATGCTGGACAGGAGGGATTCTGGGGAGGAAATCACGTCTTCCGCTGAGCTGGGACACGGTAAGAAGACCGTTTACTCGCCGGATCTGCTGAAGAAATTCCTCCAAGACTATGCGGAGCGCATTCGGAATGCCCAGATCGAGGCTGGTGGTGGTGATGAAAAACGTCCGCTCAGCACAATGAGCCACGACAGAGTCCACGATTATGTAAGCGTAAATAAAATGGATGAGAATGAGGACGACGATCGCGAGGAGAAGTACAGTAGTTATAGCGGCGGCGGCTGGGCGGACGATCGCAATCGGTATCAAGACAGAAATCGCCACACCGGCTGGGTGAGTCTCGATCCCATTCCCTGGTCCACCACCAAGATCTCAAAGTGGCAGAGCAACAAGTACAGCAACAGACCTCCGGCCAATGATCATCACAGTTCACCCTATGGCTCTTCGCACGTTTCTTCGCATGGCTCATCCTCGCCGTGGATCAACGACGGCGATGACTATGACTATGTGGACGGTCAAGATCAGTTCAGCGCTTATCGGCCACAGCAGGAGAGCAAGCCCTGGAACCACAGACCTCGACCGGCCACCTATGACTACAGCAGCAATCACAAGCCGAAGCCGCACAAGCCCTGGCAGGATCACGACCACGAACGTCCCTACAGCAGTGACATTGTCACGGACAACAGACCGCCCAACTTCCCTAAATTTCCCACCTATCAGAAGCGCCCGAGTGGCTTTGATAAGTATTTTATAGACCGCAACAGCGATCGCTATCACGGCGATCATCCAGAGAGTCATCCCTCCCACGGCAACGGGGAGTGGATTCTGATCTCCACCACCAAAGGGTATCACTTCCCGCGCCACGGCCAGAGAGCCATGGCCGTGAGCCAGCCCAATGTGATCAATCAAGGGCCTCTGAAGGTCTCTATGGGCGTTGCGCCGCCGAAAGCAGGCGATCGCGTGGAACTGGACGTCTCTGCCAGCTCTCAGGTGCTGGATCAGGAGAGCGAGGAGTCCCAGGAGAGACCCAACGTACAGAACAAGAAGAAGATTCTGAGGGCAATTCCCATGACGGGCCAAAAGCAGCCACACGACAGCAATGCTGTTCTTGCAGCAGTTGCAGCTGGAATGGTGAGTCTCATGAGATTGAGTAAAATTTCTCAATGAGCGACCTTAAAGATCAAGATAATGAAATTTCACTTCCATTGTTGGATTATTGACAATTTCCAATCATTAACCAACTTAAAAATTATCAAATTTTCCGCCAGTTAACTTTCAGAATTAACTTTCGCTTTCTTTCATGATTTTTCTTTTTATTTTTGCAATAATTGAATATAAGGAAATTCGTATTCAAGCTGTCAAAAGTCTCGCATCAAACAAGAATGTGAGATATAGGAAAAAGTTCATGATTACTTCAATTCGTTACAGTGTTTTCTAGTTTCCTCTCATTTTGAATAATTCCCATGAAATTTAATGAATTTCTTTTGACGAAAAAAAGTCCACGTAATCCAATATTTCTTGTGTTACAACATAAATTTTGCTCTATTTAAAAATTACCACTAATATGCTGTTATTTCAAGAACTCCAGACACTCTTGCGACGATTCTTAACTACTCACAAATGTAATAAGCTCAATGTTCTCATGCACTTCTGCAATTACTCTTCGCCAGGTGCCCGCGACGGTGGCAATGCTGGCGCCCATGGTGCTGGGCTAATTGAGGGAGAAACTGCCGAGTGCATCATTCAATTATCTAATGACTTCATCTGCGCTTGCAATACTGGGTTGACGACGCTCTCAAAGATGACACACTTTTGAGATGGAGACGCTGCAGACCACCGGTTTCATTGCAGAGAAATCTTTCCTTCTCGCTCTCAATTAGAGATGTGCAATTGGTCAAGAAAGCAATGAAATGTTTCCTCAGTTCTTTTTCTCAATCAGCATTTTATTGTACTTCTTTAGACAGAACTTGAGTTTTTTATCCTCCTATAATTCCTACTATACTTGGACGTATAAATAAGTTGTTGAATAATTTAATGTTTAATTAGAGCGAATTTTTTTTATATATATATACAGATAAACATGAAATTCGGTATAAAAAGAGTGTGTTGAAAAATAAATTATTTTTCGTGATGATTTGTCGTTCTTCTATCTCATGTTGTTCACTAAATTTAAGATTATATTTCCCAGGATACAAGATTCAACAATCAATTCCTGTTCTTTCCACTATTGCTTAATCCTCTACTTTTGAGCTGTTCTAACATTCTCAGCAGCAACTTTCTGACCACATAATTATTGAGCATCGCATTTAGTAGTCATTCCCTCCCAAAAGAGGCAAACCGTTTAATGATAATCTCCTCTTAAATTGATCGCTCGCAAATTAATCCCTAATCATCGCTTCCGTTAGAACCCCCGCTCAGATCCACGATCACCTATCACTACTCGGAACGTAAAGTGTGTCGAAAGTCATGAGTAATAGAAGAAAGAGAATCAAGTCTGAGTATCGTATCACGGAGAAATAAGGCGACCGTTGGAGATCAGTAGGTGAAAGTGGGAGAACTGTCTATGCGCTCCTGCACGCCACTCAAGTACCTCTGGAAAGTGGCCGTGGCGTTCTGCAGGAAGCTCAGCCCGAAGCGTATCTTGAGATCGATGAGGCGCCGGACGAGATCGAAGAAGCCCGTGTCTTCAGCAGGAACGCCACCCAGATTCTCAGTAGTGGAGATCACATCCACTGGCGCTGTGGTGTCTGTGATTTCAGGGGTTTCCGCATTGGTGGCGGTTTCTTTGTTTCCCTCGACTTCATTGAAATCGTCATCGACCTCATTGTCATTGATACCGCGCGAGTCTCGCTCATCTCTGGCGTTGCGGCGACGACGAGGACCGTGCTCAGGCACTGGCATGGTGTCCTCCGACTGGTCATTGATCACAGAACCCACCACGAATTGAGATCGATGCTGCAAGACGTTGTCCTTCTCCACGGGAGCATCACTTTCACTCCCAACCGTGATGCTTTGGGAAGCTTTCAGTTCAGACACCGTCTCTCCCGCTATCGGATTCATGTGCGTCTTGACGGGCATCTCGTTGGGCATGTAAGCCATTGATCCGCTAATGGATTTCTGCGTGTTCCTCAACTCCATTTGCGCAGGAGGATTACTGCTCATTGGACTGTAGGCTTTGTAAGCCTGGTAGTTAGAAGCTGATTGAGGATGAGCTTGTTGAGGATGAGCTTGTTGAGGATGAGGTTGCTGGTGTGGATTATACTGAACCAGAGGATGATGTCCAGTAGTCCTGTATCGACTGTACTGAGGATATTTGTAGGCGGCATAGCCGTGATAAGGCTGCTGATTGTGAGCCTGAACGGGTCTGTAGGAGTGATATCTAATGCTGTTCCTGTAACTCGGCGATCCCGCCATAACTTTCGTCAGCCACTCCTCTTCAAACTGCCCATCTGGCCCAGCGTACTCTTCATTGTTGTTGAAATAGACATCATCCTTTCTGTCCACGTCGTAGGAGCGACGTAGAGCACCGAATGGACCGCCTAGAAGGTAACTCGCAATCCCTGCCGTCACTACAAGACCCACCAGACTCACCCCAACCGTGGGCATCACCTCCCTGGACAGGTAGTTGTAGATCTTTGTGGAGATGGGCTTGTCTTTTTGCGCGGGTTTGTTGTTAGCGGGCTTTGCGCTGGCCTCGTCCAAAGGCTTCTTCTTGTTCCGATTATTGGGCTTCTTCTTCTGCTGAGGCTTATTGGGCGACTTTGTGGACACTTTGGTCTTCTTGTGCAGATTCGGTGATCTGTCCTGCGGCAGATCAAAGTCCGCATCCTTGGGTTCGAGGATTAAGAACGTCGTGGACTCAAGTGAAGGCGTCTGTCGAGTTGTAACCTCATCCTTGGGTCTCGCTTCAGTGGTGTCCTCAAGAGGAGCACTGGTAGTTGTCGTTCGTTTCTTAGGCTTGCTATCCTCCTTGGAGCTCTGCTTCTTTCGATGGGTGTTGTTCTTGGCCGGAGTCTTTCCACTGATCACCTTTGGAGTCTCCACATTGACCTCCTTGGAGACAACAGCGTTCACGGGATCTGTGGTGGCTTTGCTCTCACTCCCAATCTCATAGGTGGGTCCCTTGAGATCTGGGCTCACTGTGGAGCCACTCTCTGACAAGAGGATCCACGTGGAAATGCCCACCTTGGGAGTGGAAGATTCCTTGAGGCGAATATCCATGGCAGCCATCTCCCTCTCCAGATCCTTCATCGTCAGCGGAACCGCCACTCCTTTGTGACCCTCATCTTCCTTCACGACAATCTCTTCGTTCGCCTTGCCCTCATCCTGCGGCACATCCTCCAGCACTAGTGTGCTGTTCACGACACTGGCATTCGTGACATCTCGTGGAGTCGTGATCAGTTGATCCGTGACCTGCTGAATGGAGTCCGCCAGTGAGGACTTCTTTACATCATACTCTGTTGATTGTTCAACATGAGAGCCTCCCACTGATCTGCAACGCAAAAAAATGCCTCATCAGCTTCTGCATTCTCTCCACGTCCACACAGAAGGCAGTTAGTTGAAGAATGGTTAGAGAATTAATAAGGCATTTTGCAAAATTAGTGTAAAGCAAAGTTTTTGGCGTGGTTTTTTTGGCTCAAGCGATATATCCCTCTAAGCATTTTATATACACTTATCACTTAACATAAGATTCTAAAAGCTATTTTGGCAGCAATTTCTCTCCTCATGCATCGTTAAAGCTACAACAGTTAGGGCTTGTAGGAGTTCATGAGTCGCAGGATGTTGTTCTGATCCTCTGCCTCAGACCAGCGGGCATTTCTCCACTGATTCGCCATATATTTCGGTCGCTTTCTGTGGTGAATGATGATCGTCGGCGGGGGTTTGTGCTTGCGCGAGAAGAGCAGAGCAGATGTGGTCCACGGGAAGAAGTAGAGGAAGAGCCCCACGGTGCCCAGAGCGAAAACAGCCACTGGGGAGAAGGCCACTGAAAACAGTCCAAACTTGATGAACTTGAAGAGAGTCAAGAGGCTGAAGCCTTTCAGGAGACTCGCGAAAAATCCATAGTGATCGATGGACGTCGTGTGGACGTCTTGGACAGTCTCAGCCATCTCATGCACACCGTGCACACCCATTGGCTTTCCTGGCTTTCCCGGCTTTCCAGGCTTTCCGGGTTTGCCAGGCTTGGGCTTCTTCTTGATGGAGTTCGTCCCACTTGGCTTCTTCGAGTGTATGTTGTAGTCAATGAATTCATGCGAGTGCGATGATTGTGCTTGATTGTCTGTGTATTCACCATCGCTCTGCTCTTCCGACTCTTCGTACTCCTCCTCCGCCTCCTCCTCCTCATATTCGACACTTGGACGGTCGATTTGATTGTTAATAACAACATCGAGTCCCGTACAGTCTTCTTTGGGCGCGCTCTGGTACGAGGTGGCATTGACTGTGACACGGATGGTTGGGCAAGCCTCAGCCACATGGCCACTCGCAGAGTCAAGTTCATTGTGCCCAAACGCGCCATCGGAATGCTCTTCGGCACCATTCTCGGCCGCATGTGGGTCAGGGTCATCTGGATCGGTGGAAATGTAACTGACCGACACCTTCTGATTCACCTTGCTCCCAGAATCCGTTGTCTCGGACGTTACGGTTGCCGATGGGCGCTTCGTGGCCGGTTTCCGCTTCTTCTCAGGCCACGTTCCCATGGGATCGGGCGTCTTGGTGTCGTACGCAACACTCGAAATGGCCGGTGTGCCAATGTAGGCCACACTGGCGGAGAAGGTTGTCACATCATCCAGGTCTGTCTTCACCTGCAGCGGCCGATTGGAGATGAGCCACTCTTGGGGTGTGCCGCTGGTGCTCTTGACAAAGTGCGGCGGAGTGTCGCCGCTGTAAAAGATGTCCACGGGCTTGTCCGACCACTTGGAGATGAACTTGTGGATGGTGGGCCTCTTCGTGACATCCTCCGGGCTGTCCGTGCTTCTCTGCCAGTTGTGAATGGTGAGCAGATTGGCCGGCGTGTTGGGCACGATCTTGCCCCCGAAGGTGCTCTTCGGCGTGCTAATGTCCGGCCCCGGTTCCAGATGCACCGGAACGAAGTGCTTGGACTTGTCTGGCGCCCAAGAGTTAGAGGAGTAGAGTTTACCGCGTGCCCCAGTGTTAGTTTTAGTCTTGTTAGCGAAATGCACCCTTCTGTCTGGCTGAGACATGCTGTTATTGTTAATCGACGACACGAGAAGTGGGAAAACAAGATTGGAGATGTACCTGTCGCTCGTGGCCAGATCAGCGTCAGCCTTAGGACGCGCTTCGGACGCCTCCAGCAGGATGGCCAGTAGCACCACCGCTCTCAGCCACTGCATCTTCGCGATGACCCTGCGAGACAAAGGGCGAAGTGAGAGAGCAATTGAGTGCGGGTAATTGCATAATTGGGTGGCGCGCACAAGACAATGCACGAGAGAGTAAAGTGAGAGGATGGAGATCACGTGGATGAATATGTGGCGAAAAAAGCGCCGCGGAGGAGAGAAGAGAAAAATGCATTTAACAGTGCTCTGTCCCACAATTACGATTACCTACAAACATAATCAACCCATAAACTCTGAGCGATGCATTCTTTCATTCTCGCTCCCGCGTCATCTCTCGCGCGGCTCCCCAGTCAGCATTTTGCACCATTGTTATTCATCATCTCCCCCAGCAGATTGTGCACGCTCTTCATGCCTTCACCTTGCAATCAGAGAAATGAGTCTCTGCCATTTTCACTGATGCCCCTTTCAGTGCACGTTCAAGTGCACCATTACCAGCCCAGAAAAGAGATGCTAAAGCCGAGGGGCGATGAACATGACAAGCAGCAACTCTGAATTATTATATATATATATATTATATTAAATATGAATTCCGCATATCTCTAGTTGATATAACTAAGAAATATTGAAATAAATTAATGTTTAGCGCATTGAACAGATAAAAATTAACTAAATTGAACAATTTAGGTAAACCAAATATAAAAAATAACCCACATGAGGAATTCATGTATTTCTACTCCAGAATCCAAGCATGTCATTATTTCTATTATTCATAATTCCTGGGTTAATAACACTGAAAGTATTTTCTTCATATTTATATGTCTAATTATGTAACAAAAGAAATATGCCAATGAATAAACAAGCAAAGTTCTAGTTAATTATTATTTTACTTCGTCCACAAGGTCTTATTCAAAGTTAAAACCATAAAGAAGAATTGAAGAGATAATAAAAGAACCTCTTTTTTTGTTCATAAAACACAAAATAGCGTTTTTCTACATTTAATATTCTTACACCTTCTAACTAAATAATACGGAGTCAATATAGCGTGCAAAACTACCGGAATATTCAAGAATCTCTTAAAATTCCATAACATTCTTGAAAGCCCATCGCTTGTAAATCATTTACGATGGATATGCTTGGAATGTATTATTTACCATTTCTTTGTCATGCCATTAGAACTCTTTATTAGGAATATTGGAGAACGTGATTAAAATGTAAATTCGATGGCGTGTGTAGCCATAGTGCAGAACAAAGCATCTTCTTGTGCGTGAATTTTGAACGAGAGTCACTCATTGTATCAAATTTTTATACTTTCAAATTATCACCTCTAAATACTCTCATGGAATCACTAAATCTACTTTCAATTCTCAAAGTTCTTTCGCTTTTTCTGCACAAGCAGGCAAACGAAATCCCTCCCTGTGGATTCTTGGCGTGTTTGGTGAAAGATTTCAATAGTGGGTCACTTCTGAAACCGTTTCTCTTGTTTTTCGCAACAGCTCAAGAGAGCACCAGATGCAGAATATGCCTTGGTTGAACACCCCTTGTTAGTGCCTGGTAATTTTCTCCATATGGAAAACTTCTTCGTCTCTCTGGGTCTTCGTGTTGAGCAAGAGATACAAGCTAGAAAATTCACACAGCCGGTAATTTCTAAATGAAATAATATTGTTTTGGAGTGAGAAGCACTAAGACGGCTTTTTCCTCGCCCCTCTGTGAATGCTATGTGCGCCTTTGAGGAGAGTAGGAAAGAAAACAGAACGATATGCTTGAAAATTTCCACGGAACCCAATTGCGGTGGAGCAGAAGAGATCCAAATTGCGCATTTGTTCCAATTAATTAAATAATGCTAAAGCACATCAGTAAGAATATAAAATTAATTGGATCGCTCCGTGAATTGAGGCAGGAAGAGAGCCAAGTCGATGAACTTTCTTACCAATTACATGTACAGAGACAAGGTGTGGCAATTTGAGTGTCCCGCGAGAGCAAGAAGTGATCGCGGATTTAGCCAACAAAAGGTCAACTGCGCAGGAAAGACACTTCCATCGAGACTCCCTGTATTCTGGTGGAATTGTATTGCAATTTAGCACTTCGGAGATGGAATCAGCGTGACGGGATGCGCTGATGAGAGATGAGAATGCAGTAAATTGCCCAGGGATGGGCGTCTCTCGGCACTCTCGGATGCGCTACTGCGCCGTGTTCGATATCGCCAGTCTCTCTTTAGCACCTTTTCGGTTTCCCGGTCATCCCAGAGAGCAAATTGGCGGATTGTCTTACGTGGTTCTTCTGCTGGTCGCGGGTTCTTCCACGAATAATTGATATGTATTGGCCTGAGATAGATCACGAGTAACGGCGCTCATGTAAAAGTCTTCAAGTATATTCAAATTCACCTTTTTCCCCACATATTAAATCGTACACCGCGTGTAAATATGCTTGTGGAATATTTGAGAAATGCTCCGTGTACATAAAAATCAACGGTAAAATATACAAATACCATAATATATAAATTTGTGGTTCTTGAGCAATTCATTTTTGAAAATAATACACACTCAGTGCCAATTACTCCTCACCTCGAAAAGAGATCAAGAGATCATTGGAAGCATCGCGCTCTTCCTGCGAGTGTCACTTTTTCACCAGGAATTATCACACTTTCAGAGAGACTCACCGTTAATTGCCTGGAGGTCCAAAAGCAGTCTACGCACTCACGGAGCCGTTTAGGGAAGTCGCAGTGTCGATTTCCGGCAATTCAACTGGCTGGCGGGCTCGAGGAAGTGGGTAATGAGTCGATTGTCTCTGGGTAACGAGCGCGGAGAGCAGAAAGAAGACTCTGGAATTCCGCGTTGCCCGTTTCGTGGCTCAACTAAGAATGAATCGTGTCTTGTCGAGTACACTGCGCCTCATCCAGTTCCAGAGACGAGTAGCCTGTTGGCGAAAGAGAGGAGAGAAGAAGACGTACCATCTATGGGAAATCCACTCAGACAGCCAATGCTGGATTGAAGAACACTCACGATGATATAATGCAGTAACGGAATGTGTTCTTGGCCGCCCAATGCAGAATTATCGATACTGCTGATGCATCATCTCTTCCTCCCCCCCTATTATGCCAATTATGCAGAAACCTCCGCATTGTTCTCAGCTCATCTCCAGAGTGAATTTAGGTGTGAAATTGGAACAAGAATTGCGTGCAAGAAAAGTAGGTTTGGCGTCGTCTATTTGTTCACCATCAATTGTACTTTGCCTAAGAATTGGGTGTAAATTTATATAACTCACAGACGACAGAATGGAGCAAAAAATATGCAGAACGTATTCACTCCTTCTCACCTCACCCACGAGGCGGAAGCACGACGAAGAGAAAAAAAAAATTGTGATGTGAGAATGTTACTATTGAAGTTCATTGTTGTCATTCGATTTGACCTCGTGCGTTTTCTCCATGTTTCTCTCTCTCTCTCTCTTTTAACATCTCGCCATTCGTCACAATGGCAGCGTTGCATACATATCACAGTGGATATTTGCAATTGCATCGTAACCATGGAAGCCCACTTTGGCTCCGGCAATCATATTTCCATAGACAATCGCGGCAAAAAGTGACTTTCCATGCGCGAGAGCATAAATTGTTGCAGCGCAGAATGTATCGCCGGCTCCGAGAGAGTCCACCACTTTCTCAGGCGGAAATGACGGGGCACAGAAGATTTCCCCAGATGCATCAATGGCAGCACTGCCCTCTGATCCCCACGCACAGACGATCCTGCACCTGGAGAAGAAACAAAGACAATTGTCAAATAAGCTCTCAATGATGCCATAAATTATGTAGGTCACTGTGACTGAGCGGTAATACAATATTTTAAAGATTAAGTACACGATGTTAATGAGCAGACACGGAATTTAAATCCTCAATTCCAGAAATCTTTGTAGTTCATCGCAATAGTGAATTGTGAATTGAAAGTGACATTCATTTCCAAATTGTAAATATCCTTCAATCAATTTTGATGGGACAGTCTTCGAAATAAATTCATTTTTGCAATGTTTTTGACCGCAAACTCAAATTTTTGCGTATTTAATTGCTTTTATAAGTGATTTTGCAAAAATTTCAAGATCATGATCATAAAGAATTCACTAAATTGGGAAAGACTTGAATGAAAATGAAAATAAGAAAACACATGAATGTTGCATGGTATTTCTTGTGCAAAATTCAATTTAAAAATGCACAATTATAATCTCTAAATTAGTGTCAAAAGTAATTGAGAAGTCATTAAGTGGATAAAATTGCTAATTCAGTCACATGTGGACAAGATAATCTATTGAGCACGAAGGTTAAATTGCATCATCGATACATTATACTTACTCTTTTTGGACTTTCTTCCTCATAATTGCCACTGCACTTCGCATATCTGTGGCCTGCAATTCAGTCTCGGCATAAATTCTGCTCATAAACACAACATCCGCCAAATCAGCCACATCGAGTGGATGCTTTCCGGGCTTCTCCAGCTCCAGTGACACCGTGATTCTCTCTGATTCACTCAGTTTTGCATTCCACTTATGCACCGCGTCCATCATTCGCCGGGTTTCGGGTGGATTTCGCGGCTCAAAGTGAATCCACGTGTACTCGGCGAGATTGCACTTGGCAAAGTCGGCGAAGGTCATCTCAGGGAGGTTCGGATTGGAGTGCACAATGGTACGGGAGCCCGTCTTCAGGCTCAGCAGCACCGACGACATGGGAGTTTCGCACCCCGCGTGGACAACACAGTGTTTCGTGGCAATGCCGCGTGCCTTGAAGTCCTCCAGGAGCACTGAGGACATCGCGGAGTCGCTAAGAGTGCCCATGAATTCGCACTTGAGCCCCATCAGTGCGAAGACAGTGCAGTTGTTGGCCGGATTGCCGCCCCTCTGCCAGCGTCCATGTTTCGATCTGAAAGTTGGGCGAAATTTTAGCTGGGGTTATCGCCAGTGATAGTGAGTGGAGTTTGTACCTGATGTCGGAATCCTCCTCGGGATACGCGTCACAGACCTGAATCACGTCCATACAACATATTCCGACACACAAAATGCACGGCTCTCTGCTCGTCATTTCGCAATGAATATCATCCGATCGTGACAAAGTTCAATTCTCCGGACGTCCAATTCTCTCTCCATGCCGCGTTTCTGCGCTATCGCGGCCGACAAAATGTCAGTGTCATGCCCGAGAGCTGGCTGTCGTGCAAGTGTGTATTGGTCGGCCAGCTATCGCGCCAATAGAAGCTGCTGGGAGAAAGAAAAAAAAGCACAAGATTAGTGAATAATTCTCATTTGTAATTCCACGCATGTACGAATGCAAAATTGGCATTAATAATACTTGTTTCGTGTTCTCAGTAATTTTTTTTTCTTCTTTCTCACTTCTCCTTCAATGGTAATGACAAAAAAGTTCTCTGTAAAATCACTTCCATGATATATCTTGTTGTATAGAAAGAAAATACTCTCTCTAGCTAGTCATTTCACTATTAAAAATGAAAATGTTAAAAAATCTGTAGCGCACAATTTCTATCCTAAAATCAACCTACATTTTCTCAGTAATGTGTAACTCTCTCGAAAAATTTTGCAAAATACATGTGTAATTTTTATTGAGAGAAACTCTTTCACACTTTTTTATTAAATCACTTAAATGCCTTTTGATAACTTTTCCTTCATTTCTTAAATGGTCATCTTATATTTGTCATCATTACTATGATAAATAACAATGCAAAAATATGTTATTTGTCTCGAATATTTTCATCATTTTTTTTTACACTTCATCGCTATAATTTTCTTCCTTTTCTTCTGTTAGTTCCAAAATCTTAATTTCTTTTTCACACCCAAAAATGAAAACCAAACAAACACTTTTCCAGTTGTTACATGCATAAAATACCTCCTCTTGTTTTTGCCTATAATTGCTTGGGAACTATTTACACATCAATAATAAATTAGTAGTTACTTTACAATGTATTTTCTGCTTTTTTCGTTGATCTGTTATGACACTTCCTGTTGGTTTCATCGAGCAGTTCCATCAAATATATACAGTTTTATTAATTTGTGTGTAAAAATTGTGTGAATCTGGGACACTATTTCCACTTCACGCCTCTCTTCTATTAGCTGTCGAAAAATTCAGAAATATATAATATATATTACTTGAATCATTTTCTAATTTTACAATCATTGAATTCGTCACTTTTACATATTGTACGTAAAAACTTTCTATTAGTAAAAATTGCATTATTTGACTGTTTTGTTTTATAGTAGGTAATATTCATAGGAATTTTCCTTTGCTATATTCATATTTAAGAAGAAAATTTGTCAATTTGTATTGATCTCTACGCGAAAATTGCATTGAAAGATTTATTATATATTACTTGACCTGCAATATTATTTTCAAGTTTATCTCTATTTGAAAATGTGGTGCATGCATAGCATTTCCTTTATAAATGTATATTTCTGGCCATTTTTCATTCATTTCATTTTGTAACACTGTCCGTCCTTATTTCGTGCTCTTTGTTTCTTGTGTATTCTGCTCACTTCTCTCTCATCACTACAATTTAACATGACTATGACTAAATCTTATTAATATTATTCGGTAATTAACTGTTCTATCATTTTATCACAATCTTCATTTTCAATCTCTCTCTCATATGGTATAGCAACGCAGCAATTTAACATATAGTTTTAGTGTAATAGTTGATCAATTTGCCAAAGAGACACATTGAAAAATTCATATGTACGGTTCTCGTCAATTTCACTTGACCCATGATAGATGTGCAGTGTGTTGCTCGCTTAAATAGCATTTTGAGCGTAGAATCGATAGTAATCGATAAATGTATAGAACATCTGTAGGTGAAAGTATGTTGATGTTATGAAAAATAAGTTAATTATTACGAATCTAATCATATCTTGGTGCACAACAGCCGGACCAAACATTGAGGCAACTCCAGTAAAGCTTTTTGTCTTGTAAAAATTTTCGAGCAGTGCTTCTTTCTCAACAAAACGATCATACAGCCACTTTGTTAGAGATTCATTCTCTTTTGGAATCTATGGGAAAAGCATAACCAATGAGAAAACTGTCAGTACACCAGAATAGCGCATTAAGAATGATAGGAGAAGAGGAATGTTCTCACCTCTGAATAGTGGTACAATCTGTAGAAGAAATACGTTTGACATCCATCGCGCATTCCATGGATGATATTTGGGAGATCAAGTGGATTACCATCTGGATATGCTATCGTAATATCCAGTACATACTCCAAATATTTCTTGCAATCGCTCGCTGAAGGTGTGCTGTTGCGTAAGGTATCTTGAAGGTAGGAAAGGTGGAAGAGAAACATGAACACACAATTGCAATTAATTGCTCAGAAAAGTGCATCGATTAATTCGAACACAAAGTACTTTTTTCCCACCAATTTACCTCGATTATTCTTTTCGCTGCTATTTGTAATATCACCATTGACATATGTTTTCGTTCCACTGTTGTTGTTGCCACACTTACTCTCCTCGTGACTATCAAACACATCCATTATGGCTCTGAGGGCTCCAACGCGAGGCAGTGTAACGTTCTTCAGAATAGGCAAATTATTCTGCTGAGCAAAACTGAAAAGAATAGAGGTAGATAAGTGTGATAAGATCACATCTAATTGCATCTCCATCACACTCACCGCTGACTAACTTCTCTGCGCTTCCTGAGAAATCCCCCTTCGGGGAAGAGGACCATCCACTTGCGGTCCCGTGGAATGTATGACTCAATCAAATGCTGCTTCAGCAAATCCACAGATTTATCTCGATTTGCCTTGCCCTGCGAATTGCATTAACAACACATTTCATGAGAATTGAAGAAAAGTGTTTGTGAGTATGTAAAAGGAAAAGTTCATTTTCTGCTCTATTACTTTCAATTATTCCTTAGCAAAGACTTTCAGATTAACTCATAAATATTCCACAGATATAGATTTGCTCTTTTATTAAAAAAAAGAGACTCTTAACACAAAATTGTCCGCGTTTCTGTGTCAAATGGAAAACAAAAGTGTTTTTTATTCTTATAAATAAATTCATCTTGTATTGAATAGTTTATCACGAAAGAAAGTCATCAATGAAAGCAATCTATGTCCATTAAGTGTAGAGAATATGAATAATCTAAAGCTATTCTTATACACAGAGTGTATTAATGCGTCAACAAATCATCACAAGTGCTCAAAGATTGTCAACACAAAGTTTGAAAACTGATAAAATGAATTCACACGGATTTGCCCACAAAAATGTTTTAGTCATTTAAAGGCATTTCTGCTTAAGATAACACCCGATAGCGATATTTTTCTCAGAAAAAACACTTCATGTGAAATTTACTGCATCATTTACTATTGAATATTTAAAATGGTGTGTGAGTTTATTTGATGTAAATCTCCATTGATAGGATTTGAATGACAAATGAAAGAGGGTGTCTTTTTACAGTGATTCGCTGCATAAAAGCAGCTTCTCCATAAAATATATTTTTTTATGGCTCACCCAAGCAATTGTAGTAAAATTATATTGACTAAAGGAAAAGCACCATGTGTAGTGGTTGTAAAAATCGAGCTCGTGTCTTATGATAACGTTATTCAATACACGACGTTTTTTTAAATGTCAAAATTATACTCACGGACGCAATGAAGAAATCCTGATGAATTAAGCTAACAATGCCAAAATTCGTATACTTGAAAAGGCGATCCATGATCCACATTATGTTGGGCAGAACCTGTGCCTTTGCATTGAAAGCTGCCATCATGAGAGGCACATCTGCCGTGCTCTGATGATTTGCCAACACGAGGGTCTTCTTATTTCTGCACGGTTCAATACTGTCACCCAATTCGATGATGTCATAGCCCGCTGTGTATGACCACATTGATACGATGGCCAAGAGCCAGTGAAAGAGGATCCCCTCGATTCGGTAGTAGAGCCTCGGATGGCACCGTCGCAGCGGCATCAGCAGTGTCATCCACACAAGATACGTGGGAATGCAGTAGATATTGTTGGCAATGATGAAGACAAAGCGAAACACAGCTCGTGGATATTTTACGAATTTGCTGAGAAGAAAAGACACAAGATGAAATGTGTGATAAACACAATCTATGTTTACACTTTGTGCAATCCTCAAAAGAAAAAAACAAACTCACCCAAAATCGCTGAGCAGCATTTTAAATTGATGATCACACGAAAGTCCAAAATAGTGCTGAAATTTTCTCCGTCTCGTCTCTTCTTCCCTTCGATGCTAATTATTCAACGCCAGATGTTCAACTAGAATTCTCATCTGATGCCTCTCTTTTCTCACTTGTGTAGAAATACGTAACAAAGATGTGTCACTATCATATCTCATTTGACCCAAACTCTCACTGCCTGTTAAGCACAAAAAAAGTTATTCCATTAATTGAGGAAAAAAGCTAATTTTTTCTCTACACTGTCTCACACTTTTCTCCGCCCGCTCTTATCGATTCACCCGACAATTATGGGGAAGCAATGAGAGCGTACGAGAAAATGTGAATGAGAGGAAAATACAGCCACCAAAAAAATTTGTTATGTTTTCCACAAACACACGAACCAGTATTTTTTGTTTTCGCCAAGTGCTTTTTTTCACGCAAAATATATATGTACACAAAACATCAACAGAGGAGGGAGAAAGAGCAACAAAAGTACGTGATTTCTGTATGCCTGGAGTCAAAATAAACTCAACATCCCACCGAAAAGCTTGGTCACTCTCCAATCACTCTTGACACCGTCTGTGCAACCTTGTGCCTCGCTCAGCTTTTGCATTCAAACTAAAAATCTTATCTGCTTATCACTCCTCGTATACTGATTTCCCATTACACAACATCTAAAGCTGACGCGTAGGGTAGCGTGAATTCGATCACAGACCCATGGCGAACACAGCGAAGCAGCCAATTATCGTTTCCGTGCAACATTTAGGCACAAGGTGAGTTCTTGACAAATCAATCTCTGTCCGATCCAAATTCCGAACTCTGATGATCCCAAGATTGCTCATCGCAGCACAGCTTCACTGTGCACGACAGGGAGCTGCGATACTAGGGTGACCCACGCTCCACACAATCTATTCTATATGGAAATTCACATGAGTTACGAGTGGGAAACGAGGCAAATTCTATTTACACACTCAATTGCACATTCAGAATTGCCCTCAATTCGCGCTGCATTTTTTTCTACAATCGCCCAGACACACAGGGAAGTTCCAATCCCAGAGATCATCGCCTGAGACGGGAATGCCCCGCCAATTCCGCGATATTCGTGAATGCGACCGGTTGTCCCGGCCAGTGCGTGTCTGTGCCTAATGTTAGTGATTTTGTCGATTGACCTTTCCGCCCACCGTCAGATGAAAAGCCCCGTGAAAAGTCCGCCCGCTGGTCTCACGAAGGCACTCTCGACTGAGCTTCGAGCACGAGAATGACCTGCAAAGTTGATTTATGGGGAAAAATATTGTGTTGAAATGACAACAAACCGAGAGACTGTCGCTGAGATTTTGGGAATAATTTCAAGGATCCCAGTGGGGCTTTTCGACTGGCCCGAAGCCCAATGAATCATTGATATGCAGATGTGTGGAAAAGTGTGTGCTGGAGAGAGAGACATTATTAAATATTAAATAAGTCTTTTTTCCACTCATTTGCTATTCAAGGTTCTCCTCCCTCTCTATTGCGCGTTTCGATGGCACGTCCCACAAAATTGAGGGCCCCCGTCGCACTGTCAATTTTTCATGATTACATACAACCCAATCAATCGATCTTCCCAATCACTCATCATTCCGGATTAGAAATGTGCGCTTCCTCACACTGTTTACCACACGCACCATCTCTCCGCGTGTGCAGATTTGGCGGTCAGGCAGCCTTCGCTCCAGGAGTGCCCCAGAAATACTCCCAAAAGCACGACCAACAATTTTCCCTCAATCTCTGGTGCTGCTTAGAGCGAATGTTTGGCAAGACTGCCGGAAAGTTTTCCAGACAATCCAACTTAAGGTCTCGGGGAAGCCTCTTCTCATTCGCACTGGTTCTCATGCACACAACAACAATGGGGCTCCCTTGACCGCACTGTGCACACCGCAGCCAATAACTTACACATATGACTCTTTTCACTGCATTTTCACACTGATTTCGCGTCCTATTGTCAATAAAAATGTGGAGGCACTTTTCCAATAAAAAAATGACAAAAATCGCTCCGGCACTGCAGCGACTCGCTGCGACTGGTGGCCAGAAACACAACTCGTCGAAAAAAGCGCTATGATTTTTAGTACACGTGTGAGGTTGTCAGTTTAGTACAGTTGTTTTGACGTGTAGCTCGCTCCCCGAAAAAATTCGCATTTTCCTCCAGCAAACACTCATTTTCTCGAGGATTTTCCAAATTAGCTGCACGACCATCGGATGGGGGATTCAATGGAGAATGTGGCGATTGAGGGGGAGAAGTGGGGATTCCCACTTAAGGATATCTATCGACTCGCGCTGAAGTTCTACAAAGGTGAGGATTCTTTCAAAGGGGAGCCATCTTCCCAGTCATTTCCCGGATATTCCCCTACTTCTCTCTTCTGTGGCTCTTTGCAGAGAAATTGGGAAAGGCGGTGTACATCAGTTACGAGGACAACTTGAAGCTGGTGGCGTTCACGCAGCAGGCGACTCATGGGGCCCTTGACCCCGACAAAACTCCCCCAATTGGCGTCCTCGATGTTATCGGACGCGACAGACGTGTGGCGTGGCAGCAGTTGGGCGATATTGGCCGTGGTCAGGCGATGCAGGGCTTTATCGATCTCCTGGATCGCCTCTGTCCGACCTTCAAGCCCTACGCTGAGGCCATTCGGAAGGACAAGGAGGAGAAGGTGAGGCAAGCAGAACATGACCAGCAGCTGGAGAAGGAGAGACAAGTCTTGGAGCAGTTGCAGCTGGAGGAACAGAAGAGGATAGATGATGAGAAGAACAGGGCAGAGCAGCAGAAGAGGCAGCTCCAGAATGTCCTAAATCAGCAGACATTTCATCAATTCAAGGCGTACGCCGACAAACAGTTTCCTGGGAATCCTGATCAACAGGCGCACCTCATTCGACAGCTGCAGAATGAGCACTATCATCAGTACATGCAGCAGTTGCAGGCACAGGTTGTGCCCGGAGAGAATGGGGGCCATTCGAAGACGGGCAGCACTGAGAATCTGCTGGAGAGCGCCGAATTGGCCGCAGAGGCGGAGGAGAGTCTATGCCAAAGTGATAATGAGGAATCTAGTGAGTATCCAGTGATAAGTCGAGCCAGCATGTGGACAAGATCCGACCTGAAGGCCTTCAAGCAGGAGGTTTCAGCCGGTTCGGGCGATGGAGTCATCAGGGTTGGACACGGAGACACAGTCACGGTGAGTCTGCAAATCTCGTGGATCTTACGAATTTTGCTAATTCTTCTATTCCGCTTCAGGTCCGCGTTCCCACGCATGAGGGCGGATCCTGCTTGTTCTGGGAATTCGCCACTGACAACTACGACATCGGCTTTGGAGTGTACTTTGAGTGGGGCAAGTCACCAACCTCCGAGGTTTCCGTTCACATAAGCGAGAGCGACGATGAGGACGAGCTTGGCGAGGACGAGGAGGACTTGGACTCATCGGATATGGCGACGGTGGACGACCTGGAGTCGGGTCCTTTGCAGACCATCGTCCCATCCTCCCTGCAAAACAAACCACCCATCTCTATCATCGTTCCCATCTATCGCCGGGACTGCCAGAATGAGGTGTACGCGGGCTCTCACGTGTATCCCGGAGAGGGTGTTTACCTTCTCAAGTTCGACAATTCCTACAGCCTGTGGCGCTCCAAAACACTCTACTACCGAGTATTCTACACTCGATAATCTCTCACCCCTCATGCTAATCAAATATCAATGTTGAGCACTGAAGAGTGCGTTGGAAATTGATGAAAAATCTATGAAAATATATGTATCGCTGTAAACAGCAGTCGTTCCCCTACTTTTGCGGTACGGCGTGGCTGTTGCTCTGGTGGGGAGTCCGGCCGCTGGGTTTTTAGCACAAGAAGCCGTCATTTTTTCCATTCGTGGGTCGACCGTATCGTGTGTCACATGACATCTCCCGTGACCAAAAATTGTTTATGAAATATTTTGTAAATAGAAGCGATGAAAAAGGTGTGAAAGAATGAGCTTCAAGATCTCCGACCTGGACAACAGGTAAGACATACACGCGATCGGACGCCGTGATTCAGTATTGCGCAATTCCTTTCGTGGGCCAGTGACATCTCTGCCCGGACTTGTCACTTGAGGGGCCGAAGTGGGCATATTTCTGAGAATTTGGGAGACATCCTGCCAGAGGAGCATCCCTAACGTGTCTCTCTCTGCCCTTTGTAGCGTTACCGAGGGCGACAATGACCTCATGAGCATTGTGGATGAGAATTCAATAGGAGGTGAGTATCAACAAAGCATTTTCTTGCTTTCCGGATAATGACATGATCGCTTTTTGTTCACCGCTGAAGCCTCCCAGGACACCCTCAATGCAGGCGATGAGAACGCGCAGTACACCTCGATAAAGAGTGAGAATGGTGAGTTGTGTGGTGTGAAGCGTTGGGAGAAAACTAAGTGAGAACCTCTTGAGTCTCCAGGTTTGGTCACATACCGACTAGTCCACCTTGGGGAGTCCGAATCTAATCTCCAGAGCGCGGCTTCATCTGCCACAACACCCTCCTCAAACATGTCTCAGCAGTGTGAGTAATCACACAGAAATGCCCCTAATTGGCGATATTTTGATGTTCTGCCTTGCTCTCTCTCACTCTGACCAGGTCAAGTTTACGTGATTGGGAATCCATCGAATTTTCTCCAGGCGCAACGCAATACCCCAACAAAGTCAGAAGTTGTAGTCTCGCCTGTGATCCAGCACACAAAGGTACGAAAGGTGAGATCAATTTTTGCACGCAAAACCTTCTCTAAAAGACTCAACAGAATCCGGAGGACTAATGCAAATGCTTCTTTCCTGTTTAGAGGGATGAACGACGAAGAGCCACGCATAATGAGGTGGAGAGACGCAGGAGGGATAAGATAAACAACTGGATACTGAAGTTGAGCAAAATCATCCCGCCAGATCCAACAGAAGTGCCACGAAGCGGTTGTGGCAATCTCGAGGGCCAGTCGAAGGGCGGAATACTAGCCAAAGCATGCGAATACATTATGGAACTGAAGGAAGCCACCTCCAGGTGAGTTGTGCGGAGCACCAAAGTGTCTGGGATAGAGAGAATTCCCAGCTAATCTCCCCATTGTTTACCTTCCCCAGCTTGAAGGACTATCAGACGGAGCTCAAGAGATTAGTGGCGGAAAACAAGTCGCTGAGGGAGAAGAATGAATCACTGATTAGAGATAATGAAATGCTGAAAGCACAAGTGAGTGGCGTGAAGAGCGAGGGACGTCCAACAAACTTATAGCGAATATATTTACAGAGATGTGGATGGAATTTGTTCTGAAATATTTTTATATCCTGAAGAAATTTGTATGATTATTTTTTTTAATCGATAGCAAGTTATCCTTATGTTTTTTATATTATTCATTTTATTTAAGAAAGGGATCTATCTCTAAGTTCTAACGCTCCCTAAATAGATTCTTTTATATTCACGAAATGAGGCAAATGTTTTGTGTATAGATTTAGAGGCGAAAAAGTGTATCTTGTCCCAAATAGCCACTTTTTTTTTCATCGGCATCACTATTGCATGTGGCATTATTTTGAAATAATCAATATTGAGTTTCTGTTGGGGATTTATTTTGTGAAATGATAACTTATAAAGAAGTGAAGAAATGTTTTGGTCGTCCCCTTCTTTTTTTGTGGTTTTGTACATTTGATAAGACACCCGCCTTTCTCAATGGTTTTTTTTTTATTTGAATGTGGCAAAATTATCTCTTATTACTGAATAAATAGGTTTATTAAAATTACATTGCGATTATTCATAATTCCCAGTCGATATAAAGTGGTGATTGCGAGGTGAGGCATTTGGACAGATTGAATGTCCGGTTTCAGAGGTTCAAGTGTGATAAGAAAGCACTTTTGAAAGGGGTTTCTGAATGCTGGACTGAAGTCCTATGAGGTGGGAATATTTTTTATTAGACAAATTATACTGACTCATATTTATTCAATTGGTTCGTATTTTCGTAGAAAATATTCAATTTGCTTGGAAAAATATGAACTCGTAATATTCCAAATATGTTCACAAAGTACACAATCTGGTGATTTTGTGAGACGTGACAAAACAGCGAGACGTAGTCAGAATTTCTATGTACCAGCCAATGGATATAATTTGCTAATAATTCAGTCAATTCTGTATTAACACTTGGTGGAGCTTTACGGCAGACAATCATGTAAAGAAAGCATGGAAAATAGTATTTTACTTCGGAGAACGAGAGAATGTAAAAATCGTGAGAACATTCTTGTCGTCATTTCGTCTCATCAAGAGCAATTCGTAGGTGAGTTTAATATTAGAGCCTTCTATATCGTTAGTAAAAACACTCACAATTTACCCATGAAACATTAAATTAGGAAGAATATTTTCATTCCAACTCCGATCGAATTTTATTGCGCACGCCGCAATTGCGACTGAGAAACCCCTCGTGCAGTCGCCGATGAATGATTCCAGTTACAAGTGTATTGTCTGCTGCTGGACACTCGCGCTCTCGATTGTCCGAACAGCGATTGAGAGCGCTCGCGGGCGGAAGCAGGACGGCCGGTGAGCGGCGGCGAGCACGTGCGAGAGGGAGAGCGACAGGGCTCTCGTAGGCTATAAATGGAATTGTATTCGCTCTCAATTCTCCAGAGCGTTTTCGGAAGCCACACTGCTGTGCACCCTGAGAGCGAGCGGGACGCGCACAGCTGGAGAGCGCGCGATAGAGTGAGAGTGGCAGTGAGACAATGGGATGATTGAGCAGAAAATTCCCGTGCAGTCAATTTTGTGGGTAGTTTTTAGTTGATACCTTTCGCTTGCACTGTGCAATTTCCGCGATGGCCCCCGCCTGGTGATCTCGCGCGCCCCGCGGAACGAGACAATAGGGCGCTCAGGCGATGTGTGGTGCAGTGAAGAATTTCGTGACGCAGAAGTGACAATATGATGCCGAAGAACGATAGAAAAATGGCCCCAGTCGCTGTCCAAAGTTCAGAGACACTCGTCAACTCCGAGTCGGACACGGGTTCTGGGCGCTCCACCTCGACACTGCAGTCGCCAGGCATTGCAGGGCGCGCCCCCATGTTCGACGCCCTCAAGGACTTGTGCGTGAACAATGTGAACTTCTTCAGGCGCGACGACTCCGCCACGGGCCTGCGCCTCCACGGCGCCTTCCTGGCGCTCGTGGATCACATAGAGAAAGCCAGGCCGCTCGTGGAGCAGATCAGCAGCTTCGCCCACGAGTACGACTTCGACAGTGAGACGCCCGGAAACGGCTACAGGAGCTTCATCAAAGTTATCGATTGTTGCATAATGCACAGCATTAAACTGTGCCGAGTCGTGCTGGAGAGTCGCAGCTCAATCCTCTTCCGGAAGACGCTCTACACCAAGTGAGGAGCGATTGGGAATTGCCGGAAATGCAGCTTCTAATGCCCCACGTTGTCTTTGCAGAGAAGTCGAGGCCAGCAGTCATCTTCTGGCCAGTCTCTGCGTCATCCTGGACCACCTGATGACTCTGCGGACATGGAGCTCTGAGGGCAGCCTCTTCAGTGACCACACAGCAGAAGAACTCCTGGCCCACGGAGGAGCCATCAACCAATACTGTTTCTATGGACGCTGCCTCGGATTTCAAGTATGTCGCTTCTAATCTCATTTCGTGACTCAATGCCAGGAGATTAGAAGCTCCAATGCCAAACAAAGACTCTCTTCTCTCTCTCTCTTTGATAAGGAAGATAGGTCAGAGAATCGCATCTTCCTTATACAAGACGAACATTTGGAATTCAGTTTAATATTTCGAGGTCGAGAACCTCTTGCAGACCTTTTATCATTGCCTTATCTTGATAGTAATTCACTGAGAGATTGATAAGCTGGAAACTAATTTCTTTTATGGACTTTGTAACATTGATTAAGAAGTCGTACGACTTCTGAAATTACCCTGAATTTGCGTAGTTCAATGAGACAATGTTCCAGATTTTACCTTTTGTAGCACTCAGATTCTATCAATTGTCTCTCAATTGTCTAATTAAGGCTAATTCATAAATCGATTAAGCCGAAACCGTGTCTTCTAATTACGAATAATTACAATTCATGAATATACGAAGTCGTCGGAATAGTTTCTCAAGCCGATAACACTTCTGATGTAGATTAATCATTTAGTTCAATGGATTCTTATCAATTTTCTAAATGCTTTTGCAGTTCTACGACTCCATTCGTGGTGCTCTCAAGTTTGTCTCCAGCTGCATGGCGGGCTTCTCAGAGGGCTACTATTCCGAGGGCAATCGTCTGACCAAGACAACCAGCTCCATGTGGACGAGCGGCAAGTTCCTCCTCGATCCGGAGCTGCGCGCCCGTCGCGTTGTGAACCTCTCGCAGAACTCTGATGTGCACTTCTGCAAAGCCTTCTGGTTCCTGGCTGAGTCTGAGTTCATGTACAGTGTGCCGAGTGTGATCGGAACGGCGATAAAGGTGAACAAGGTCGTGACGATTCCGCCGGAGCCGCTGAAGCTGCCAAGTGCCGCCGGAGATGGATTTGTGGACATTCCCATCCCGTTCAGCCACCTGGGTCCTGGTCCAGTGACCGCCCGGCTGCTGAGCTACAACTTGCGCCAGGGAATGATGGGCGAGCGGAGCCACCGGTGCAGCTCCACTCTGCCGCCGTCCAAGGGATTGATCATTCACTGCCACGGTGGTGGATTCGTTGCTCAAAGCTCCAAATCCCATGAGCTCTACTTGAGAGACTGGGCGTATGCTTTAAACGTTCCAATATTGTCAATTGACTACAGCCTGGCGCCGGCTGCTCCCTTTCCACGTGCCTTGGAGGAGGTCTTCTACGCCTACTGTTGGGCACTCAATAATTGTGAATATCTCGGAACCACTGGTGAGTGAAATTGCCCCATCACTCATCGCAGCACCCCTAATCCTCTGTCCATTGTTTGCAGGTGAAAAGATAATCCTCGCCGGTGACTCAGCGGGAGCCAATTTGAATCTAAGCTGCACGCTGAAGTGCATAGATTTTGGAATTAGAAAACCCGACGGTGTTCTGTTGATGTACTGTCCGGTTCTCGTGAGCTTTGTCGTTAGTCCAGCACGTCTTTTGTGCTTGATGGATCCACTATTGCCATTTAGCTTTATGATGAGTTGCTTGAAAGCTTACACGTGCCCAAATGAGGATGACGATGGTAAGATTGAGAGGAATCGCCGTCGTGTGACACAGTTGCTCAATACCAGCAAAGCCACATCCGTTCATGCCTCCTCCTCGAGCACCACAATCACACCCAATGACTCCAAGATTGTGGTGATACAGAAGACCTCAGATTCTGACTCCACCAATAGAACGGACGCCACTGTGATGGCGCAGAATGCTAAGGAATCGTCGGAGAAGTTGGTTGAGAATGACGATCAGCTCTCTGATCTGTCACTGGACACCTCCACGTGGGACAGATTGTCCGATACGGACTTCCACAATGCCTCAGCGCCCTTCAAGAGTCCCATGAGCGACACCATCAGTGACACAATGGCGTCAGCCTCGCTCAGAAGTCACACGCTCGGGAACACGGAGGTTCCCAGTCCGGATGAGAGCAATGGCACGTCTCTGGAAGAGGATTCACAGCCCATCACCATTCACAAGCCAACTGAAAATGGTCTGGAGCATGAATTCATTGAGGAGTACCACCACGTGGACGTCCACGAAGAGGCAATGAGCCAACCATCTGAATACGTTTCCAGCTTTATTGAGAGGTGAGTTGTTAAGACTGACTCGCTCTGCTTCTATGCAATCGATTGAGGAGTCCTTGGAGGAGTCATAAAAATATCTTACGTGCAAGAATCTCACAGAGAATTTCATCTTATTATCCCATTCGAGCTTTGAGAAGATACAGCAATGCATAAATATTCAAATAAACCCCCAAATAAGCCGCATAGGGGAAATATTGGGCAATATATTTGAGTGGGATTAGGCAAGATTTGTGGTTAATACGTGTTATTCTCCCTCCAGATACAACCTTGAGAAGGATGACGAGGAGCTGAGGCGAATTGAGTGTGTCTCGAGGACCATTTCTGAGGAGAACATTATTTTCGAAGTTGGCAAAGACACTCTGAGTGTGGATTTCCTCAAGGAAAGGTGAGTAGACATATAACCCAGTGGCTTCCCACCATGCTTAATCCGCTAAATCCCACCATTGCAACAGCTTCCAGAAAATAGCTACAAAGTTGTTTAGTGTTGTTAGCCGACCGATAAGTTACGTGCTAAATTCCAGACATGCCTCACCGTCCGGCAAGCGCAATTTCGATTCGCTGCAGGCGAAGAGTCCATCTGAGGAATTTATATTTCATGTACCAAAGGACCCCTACATCTCGCCCTACTTCGCCACCGACGACGTACTCAAGGAAATGCCACCGATTAAGATTATTGTACGAAAATCCGATTTGATGGGAGTCTTTTGAGGGGATGATCTTATATTATTTTCTTTTCCTCTCCCTCTGTAGACCCTCGAAATGGATCCCTGCCTCGATGACTGTGTAATGTTTGCCAAGAGGCTCAAGAGTGTGGGCAATCCAGTGGGACTGGACATACTCGAGGGATTGCCACATGGCTTTCTCAACTTCACCGCTCTCTCCAAGGACGCCGCCCAAGGATCTAAGCTCTGCATCGAGCGCATGGCGGAGTTGATGGACATGAAAGTACCTGTCGACAAGACAAAAACCTGTTGTTGAACACCACACGCGCTATATATACTCACAAAATCGTTACGATATTATAATCACACTTCTCTCGGTCATTTTGTTGTCCCATCTTTGTTACAACTTTTACTATATTGGCGCCCTGCCCCCACTTCCAGCGTGAAGACGTGTGTATAAAGTGAAATACAAGGCAATTTTTCCGATGGTATTTTAATATATAATAAAGATTATATTGGTTAATACGTTGTTACTCTTCCATTCATCATAGAACCTAAAACACATTTTCTTTGCTATTGTGATTTCATTTCACTTGATATCTCGATCACTTCATGCCTCCATATCGGTGGTTATTTAGTCGCTGGGCCAGCCTTATTCAGAGCTTAATCAAGTTAATTCTAAATAAAGTTTCCGCGATCTTCCGAGTCAATCAAGATGAAAAAACAAACAAAAAAATTAGAAGCTAAAACTGCATTTCATTCCACTTACAATTAATTTTTTTTCCTTTCTCTATAAATAAAACAATAAGGTGGCCTCACGATTAAATGAACCCTTTGTAATCCAATTACATTGTATTCTAATTTTGGTGTCTTCATCGTTCCCGTGCTCTCCTGGCCAGAGAGACACGGGATTGGGAGGAGCAAGTATATCTACCATCGATTGGTATCCATTGAAATTTACAAAATTTATTACTTTCCAAAAATCCTAACTCCAAGCACGGATGCTGCGAAAGTACGATGGTCTTCATATGTCCGGGTGAAATGACGGGGGGTGGAGAATTGGGGAGCGTGAAAGATAGAGAAAATGATTTACCTTTGCGACTCGCGGATTTCGCTTTCAAAATGACGCGATGGGAGTGAGATTTTCTTATGCTTTCGTCTTGCCAGTGTGGTGGCTCTTGTCGATACCATTCACGTGGGCATTGCTATTGGACACTCTGGCCGTGGTGTCATTGGGGCATTTCTTCTTGAGACTCTTCTGGAGCACGTGAGCGTCCGCCGGCTCGATGCGTTTGTAGTATTGCTCTTTCGTCTCCACGATCTCGAAGCCAAACTTCTTGTAGAACTCTATGGCACCGTCGTTGTTCACTTGGACGTGACTGAAAGGCATCCGGGAGGGTTATTGAATGTGCCCCGCGGGCGAAAAGCGTCGCATACTCACAGAAATATACTGTCGAAGTTGCCGTCATTCTCCACATACTTGAGAATATGATTGACCATGACTGAGCCAATGCCTAGTCTCCTGTACGGATAGAGGCAGCCCAGAGTCATTATATAGAGTCTACGCATGTTCTCCGACGTGTCCACGCGACAGCACACCGCCCCCACGACAATATCATTGTAGTACGCCAGTTTTGCCAGCTCCCCAGCCTCCAGGACATCGATGTAGAACTTATCATTGTACGAGACGGGAAAAACAACCATGTTCAGTCGCTTCAGTTGTTTGATGTTGTGTGGAGTAACATCGCCCAGATCTATGCTTGTCCTGGAAACATGGGATGAAGAGACTCTGATTAGTGCATGGGAATGAGGAGGCTTCTCCAGGAACACCCCCAGAAAAATCAATGGTTGACACAGGAAGGTTATGTTGCTGTGCTGGGCAACAGGATGGATTTCTGTGAAATCCGCTTGTGCAAATCACATCCTTACCTCGTCATTATTAGAATACGGTGAATTAACAATAAATATTTACACTCCTTCCAGTGAAATCCACGCAAAATATATCCCTTATCACAGGCCACCAGAGCATGCCAAATGTGATTTTGCCAAACAACCACCAGGGGCGACACTGCTGCTCACCACTTTAGACCAGTGTCGCGAAATTTTACTTCATCATCCTCCACATCGCGGCACGCGAATAAATGCGATGATAAATAAAGCGACATGGATTAGAAGAGAGTGATGCAGCGATATATGATTATGCCCTTTGCAAAACACGCAAGCGGGTCTTTTTCTACAGACATGGTGTAATAAAATACCTCGTGAGATTTGCAACACTGCTTTTCGACCAGTTCTTCGACGGGCCACTCAAAATTCGCGGGTTCGGTCATTTTCGGGTCGTGTCGTGAAGTCACAAGACCTGTCAGCTGAGAGTCTTGTGATTATTGATAAAAATTGGTTCTATTTGATTTAGTTGGTTGCAATTTCCACCAAGTTTAGTCGTTTTTGCGTAAGTTCCATCGCACACCTTCACCCTCAGGGTAGACTTTAGTGTCCTGGGCAGGGGTTGAAAGAGAAATTTACCGGGAAAAAGCAGTATTTGTCGCACATTTCGCGAATTCCACTTTTGCGATCACCTTGGCGAGGTAACTTTTTTCTCACCACCATCCACCCCTTTCCTTGGGGATGAAAGTGTTAATTTTTCATCTGGTGGCGCAGAGAGGTCGAGTGGCACTAAGTGGTGGGTGGTTTGGTGGCGGAAATGGGGTGCTTCTGTGGCATTTCGAGAGCCCGAGGAGTGCCACACGGTTCGTCCATGAGACATGTCATCGGAGTCATGTGATCAGTGAAAACTGAGATCGCCATGAGAATCACGGGGAAAATGGGAATTTTCTCGGGAAATATTCCAGATAGAAGGGTTGATTTTCAACTAGGTTAACGCCCTGGGGGATAGTGAGGGTGGAGGAGGTGAGAAATTGCAGGATTAATGGCATTTTGGTGTTTCTGCAGAACTTCCCAATCAGGATAACACCATGTCTAACCTGAAGAAAATCGCTGATGAGGAGAAGGAGTCCATGTACGGCTATGTCTTCGCCGTATCCGGCCCTGGTGAGTCTTCAGCACATCCTGCAATCTTATCCGCCTGACTAATCTCACTCCAATTGGCTTCCAGTCGTCACGGCCGAAAGGATGTCCGGATCCGCTATGTACGAGCTCGTGCGTGTGGGCTACTATGAGCTCGTGGGAGAAATCATCCGTCTGGAGGGTGACATGGCCACCATTCAGGTGTACGAGGAGACATCCGGTGTGACCGTGGGAGATCCTGTGCTGCGGACCGGAAAGCCTCTCTCCGTGGAATTGGGTCCAGGTGAGGAAAAGTGCCCGGGAATACTTGAAAACTCTCACAAGAACATCTCCCAGTTGTCTATATTTAGCAACATTTATCTATTCGACAAATACAATCACAGACCATGATAATTGATCGTGAGAAATGATAAATCCCGCCCGGTTTGCAAAGATCCACACGACATGGTCACTTCGCCAGAGTGTCATATGATTCAGTTTGAGGCTTTTTTTCTGGGCAGAAACACTCACTGATTAAGACATTGCGGGTGGAAGAGCTCCAAAAGACCGCCGAAAAAATGCTATTGTGGAAAAACACTAGAAATTCCGTGGGGAATCATTAAAAATTTCCACTCTGTCGATACTTCGTCTGGCATTGTTCGCATTTGCATGTGATATTTGCACTGAAAACTGCTATAAAATGTAATTACAAGTACAAATGGCGGATTCTTATGCTGCAAATTTTTTCCACAAAATTATCTCTTGATTAAGTAATAGTGGTTTTGGTCCCAAGAAACTCCGATAAGCGAGTGATAAAGGCGTTGTTGGAGATATTCTTCACTCCAACATGGAAGAAAAGAGGCGAAGAAGAAAATTTATAGCTCCACAAATGATTGATCACTGAGAGATTTTTTTTTTTCTCAAACCAATAGAATCCGCTCAATAAAATCTTCCATCTTTCACAGCTGAGCTCAAATCAGTGAAGTTTTGTTGACTCAACCGAAAATATGAATTATTGGGTGGTTTACAAGCTTGCTCGTTGATCAAATTGGAACTAATGGTCAATAATTGATGAGAAAGAGTGCAAGTCAGACTCGTTTTATTAGTATTTGTGTTAAAGCATGAGTGATGAAAGTGTGGCTTCATTTCAATTGAGCAATGCACCTTGACTTGTGCGTTTGATAATGAAATACACCGTGTCTGCGTGTTTGTTATGCATGTCTTGTCGGACAAATTGTTAAGTGCTTGATTGACCGAGGAAAAGGGATGAAAATTGATGATGCTAAAGGCGGACGGAAAATTTAATGATTCTAAATGTCTTGTCTCCATATCGGATTATTGTAATCCAAATACTGTCTCTGAGCCTTGAGGCCAGAAAGAGAGGCACACAGACTGGTTGTTACGTAACGCGTGTAATTCTTCTCGTGACGGTAATGAGGTTTTACCGTGTGAGAAAGCTTTAACATAGATTTGGATTGAACGTGAATAAAGTAACACCAAAATGCTGGAATGGAAGGGAATATGATATTTTTAATATCCTATTGAAACTCAAAAATATGCAAAATGATTGTGAATTGCAAGCTTCACTATTTATCAGCATTTGGAAGAGATTAACACCTTTCTGAGTTGTGTGAAATGAAAAGTCATTTGGCCTCTTTTCAAGAGATTTTAAAGCATATAGGAAAAACGCGAAACATGTTTGAATGTTATGTGGTGAAAAATGACGAATGGAAACTTTTTCTCTCTGTTCATCTTGAGGGAGAGAGAAACTGATAAAAGCGCTCCCATATCTGCCCCTCAATGCTCGTCATGGTTGAAGTGGACATGTATCTCTAATGCTCTGGATTCCTTCTCTGTTTTTGCCATTTAGGCATCATGGGAAGTATATTCGACGGCATCCAGCGTCCGCTGAAAGACATCAACGAACTCACGAGCTCCATCTACATCCCCAAGGGTATCAACGTGCCCTGCCTGTCGCGCGATGCTTCCTGGGACTTTGCGCCGCTCAACGTGAAGGTGGGCTCTCACATCACCGGGGGTGACATGTACGGTCTTGTGCACGAGAACACTCTGGTGAAGCACAAGATGATCGTGCCGCCGCGTGCCAAGGGCACAGTGAGGTACATCGCTCCGCCTGGCAACTACAAGGTCACCGATGTGGTGCTGGAGACCGAGTTCGATGGGGAGATCACGAAGCACACTATGTTGCAAGTGTGGCCGGTGCGTCAGCCGCGTCCGTGCACGGAGAAACTGCCCGCCAATCATCCCTTGCTCACGGGCCAGCGTGTCCTGGACTCCCTCTTCCCGTGCGTCCAGGGCGGCACCACTGCCATTCCTGGGGCTTTCGGTTGTGGCAAGACTGTCATCTCACAGGCCCTGTCCAAGTACTCCAACTCCGACGTGATCATCTACGTGGGCTGCGGAGAGCGTGGTAATGAGATGTCTGAGGTACTCAGGGACTTCCCTGAGCTGTCCGTGGAGATTGACGGTGTGACGGAGTCTATCATGAAGCGTACCGCCCTCGTGGCCAACACCTCCAACATGCCCGTGGCTGCCCGAGAGGCCTCCATCTACACGGGTATCACACTGTCCGAGTACTTCCGTGACATGGGCTACAACGTGTCCATGATGGCTGACTCCACGTCGCGTTGGGCTGAGGCTCTTCGTGAGATTTCGGGTCGTCTGGCTGAGATGCCTGCCGATTCCGGCTATCCGGCCTACCTGGGCGCCCGTCTGGCCTCCTTCTACGAGCGCGCCGGTCGCGTGAAGTGTCTGGGCAATCCAGAACGTGAGGGCTCTGTGTCCATTGTGGGCGCCGTATCGCCGCCCGGTGGTGACTTCTCCGATCCCGTCACATCCGCCACGCTGGCCATCGTACAAGTGTTTTGGGGTTTGGACAAGAAATTGGCACAGAGGAAGCACTTCCCCTCCATCAACTGGCTCATCTCCTACAGGTACAGCTATATTGCTTATAAGATGTTCTTGCAATATATACGAATAATGCTGTATTCTTCCTCAGTAAATACATGCGCGCCCTGGATGACTTCTACGACAAGAACTTCCAAGAGTTTGTGCCATTGAGGACCAAAGTGAAGGAGATCCTGCAGGAGGAGGAGGACTTGTCTGAAATTGTGCAGCTGGTCGGCAAGGCTTCACTGGCTGAGACAGACAAAATCACGCTGGAGGTGGCCAAATTGCTCAAAGACGACTTCCTGCAGCAGAACTCCTACTCGTCCTACGATCGCTTCTGTCCCTTCTACAAGACCGTGGGCATGCTGAAGAACATGATCGCCTTCTACGACCTGTCGCGCCATGCTGTGGAGTCGACGGCCCAGTCGGAGAACAAGATCACGTGGAACGTGATCCGTGACTCGATGGGCAACATCATGTACCAGCTGTCGTCGATGAAGTTCAAGGCAAGTGTTTTGTGTCCTGATTGATTTCTCGGTGACTTGATTTGCTGAAGCGTCTGTGTGCTTTTCAGGATCCCGTCAAGGATGGCGAGGCGAAGATTAAGGCGGACTTTGATCAGATGTACGAGGATTTGCAGGCGGCTTTCCGCAATTTGGAGGATTAAGTTGCACACATTTAGCAGTGAGATAGAGAAAAGAAAAAAAAGAAGAAATTCGCAAGATAGTAGAGACAAGTGGCGTACAATAAATTAAAATTAAACTATTGAGAGATGAAGGAAAAAATATTCAAATCGATCACATTTAATGAAAATGAAAGAAATACAAACTATACCCACTTATTTAAAGAATAAAATTAACATTTGAGGAAAGATTTTACTGTGCAAATCTGTATGTGCATTACTGTAAATTTGTTAACTTTTATCATCATGGTAATTGTAAAATGATAGATGGTGAAGAAGAAGAAATGGAATTTGATGCAAAATCCTTCTGAAAAAATGGATATTTATAGCTATATATCAGAAGCATGAAAACTCCTAATATTAATATATTTAAAAATGATGAATAAACCAATAATGCATTCCAATTTCAATTAAACGTGAGAAAATTAAGTAATTCTCTGTAGAAGACATTGAGTAGATTTTGATCGAGTTGATGTGCTGGAAAAGCATTAAAAAAAAGCACAATTTTTTTTTGTGAAAAAGCAACTCATTTTTGGCTCTAAAAAAACTGTCACTCGTTAGTGGAAATCGAGTGAAGAGATGCTTGAACCCCTTTTTAATCTTCTCTGTGGTGCTTGGAAATTGTAATTTCATCGTTCCTGCATGCAAATCCTTTCCCTTTTCACTGTTTTCCCCTCCTTTTTTTCCTCCATACGTTTTACTTTTCTTCATAGCGTTCTTGTTCTGAGTTTTTTTTTTTCAATAAAAGTGGGTTTTTTCTGCTAGAATTATTATTGTTCCAGTATTAAAAATCATTTTTCATGCAATATTGCATATTAGATATTGATCGTTATTCGTCGATTGTTAAGAAGAATTGCATATAAAATGTAAAAAAATGATACCATCAGCAGCAGATAATGGCTAGATGAAGAGTTATTGTGTTGATGAAGCAACGTGTAATAAATAGACGAGAAAATGTAGTCAAACTGCGTTTATTCTGCCGCGCATATTGAAGGGAATCATCAATTCTGGGTGGAGCAGAGGAACGGCAGCTTCTCGTTGAGTTGCAGTTGTGTCTTGATGAGCTGTGACAGCGTGACCACCATCAGGAGGTCCTTCACGTTGGAATTGAACATCTGGGCGAACTGATCTGGCGACATGTTGGGCACGGAGTGGATGAGGTCGAGCAGGGCGCGTCCCACTGTGTTGTCCGCCTGTTGCTTGCCCGACAGCACATCCTCCACGTACGTCAGCACTTGATCCAGCAAACCCTGCAGCTTGGTGGCCGCCTCCGCCACCTGGGCGAGGTCCACCATGGGCTGCACGGCGCGCGACCGGGAGGCGTTGGACACGCCAATGGTCTTGGCGCACAGCTGCAGACCAACAGTCTCTGGGGCATAACTGGTGATCTCGATGTTGATGGGGGTGAACATGTTGCCAGTCTTCCCACCGGGCACGCCCAGGGAGACACAAACGAATGCCTTGAGGCCCATCCGGCCGCCCTGGAGGGAAGTGTCAACCGTCACATGGACGGGATTGTTGCACTCCCGCGAGTAATACTCATGGATCACGGAACTGTGATTCGTCACCTCATTGCCTGTCGCCCACCAGCCTGAAATACAAACACCCAGTTAGGCTCCGCAGAACATCTCGAGCAGAAAAGCCATCTCACTTACCGACGATGTTCTCAGAGGCGTTCACTCGGCGGTTGAGGTCATACACTTCGTGGGCATAGCCCAGTTCCGCTTCCACCTGGTCGTCGTGCTCCTTGTGGGGAACGCAGAAACAGTTTGAAACCTCCACAATACCCTTGTCCGCAGTGCCTGAAACACACAAAACCCGTCTTCAGTTGGAATCTCACCCGAAAAACCCCAAAATATGTCCTAACCTAGAAGAGTCCCGATGACACGTTGAGAATCTGCATTTCTCCGCTCGTACGCATCAACTATCTGGAACAACACCACCGGATGGACGCGCACAGTTAAATTGAGAGCCATATTGCGTAGAAACACTCTATTTTGCACGGAAAAGGGAAAAATGTGGATTTTCCACAGAATAATAAAAGCGATGGCGTGGTGACAGCGCACTCTGCGGTCTATGGCCGAAATTCACCACTTTCGACGAGTTCGTGGAAACCCTTCAGAGTGTTGCATTTGACACGTTTCGTGTCATGTTTATGAAATCCACGTGAAAATGTGTGGTATTTTCTGCCTCTTCCCACGCTCGAATCCTTCAGTGAATTGCCCAGGAAACTTTGGAGACATCGTGAGTTATCCTTAAGCTATCTATTTGTTTGTAGATTCATTAAATTTTGGGTGTTTTTTGCAGTACGAAGAGCATTTTCGAGATACTCTAAACCGGCGAGGACCAGACTATGCGAAATCTTACACTTTTCAAGGAATATTCTTCGCAGCTCATGTTCTGTGGCATCAAGGAGGGGATCTATGTCCTCAACCTATTGAGGACGAACATGGAATACTTATTTTCAACGGGGATCTCTTTATGGATGAGATAACAGTGGCGAAAAGTGACACTTCTTGGCTTTTGGATGCCTTGTCGAGGTGTTCGGTAAAATCTTATAAACCACGGATTTTGTATAATTTTTACACATTGTATGTTTTTTCAGAGTTCGGAGGACGTGAAAAATCTTCTGAGAATTCTGACTGGACCTTTCTGCTTTGTATACTACCAGAAATCCAGCAGATCTTTGCTCTTCTGTCGAGATATTCTGGGACGAAATTCACTACTCATAGGAGTAAAGGAAGACAGTGTCGTTCTTACCAGTGCAGGAGAGAAATCTTCAGAATACAATTTAATAGAGGTTCCTCCTCTTGGCCTCTACGAAATTCTTTGGGACGCTGGTGAAATGAAAATCAGTTTTTGGGATGAAATGATAAGTTGTACAAATTACTTTCTCACTGAAGAAGCTTTCCTGAAAAGCCATATCGAATCTAAAGGGATGAAATACTCAAGCACTAAAGATTTTATTAATCCTGTCTGGCTAGAGAAGCATTCCATGGAATTTGATTATTCATTCAAAGTGATTTTCGAGGGAATCAGTAAAGAACCTCCTGATCAATTGCTTCAAAGAGGTCAATCCTTAATATTTCCTGTAATAAAGAAGCTAATAGGATTGCTCGAAACCTCTGTTAGAGATAGAGTGACGACAACGGTGAAGAGATGCAAGAATTGTCTGAGAAATTCGGACGCTTCACATTGCAATCATGCAAAAGTTGGAATTCTCTTCTCAGGAGGAATTGATTGTTCAATTCTTGCCATTTTAGCAGATAAATTCATCCCAAGAGACACTGGAATAGATCTGCTGAACGTGGCTTTCGAGAAAAACACCCCGAAAGGGAAGGAAATCGACTGGAATGTTCCAGATAGACAGTCAGCCAAGGAAGCCCTAGAAGAGCTTAAGCGTGTCTGCCCAGAAAGGACATGGAATCTTATTGAAGTAAATGTAGCGAAAGAGGAAAAGACTGAATGCCTGACCAAGAATGTTTGCCACTTGATCTATCCCCGAAATACCATTTTGGACGAGTCTTTGGGAGTGGCTCTCTGGTTCGCTGCACGCGCAGAGGACAATTCAACGTGCAGAGTTCTCCTCATTGGATCAGGAGCTGATGAACTCTTCGGCGGCTACACTCGCCACCGAGTGGCTTTTGATCGTGGTGGTGAAGAGTCGCTGAAGCAGGAGTTGGAGAATGATTGGGCTCGTCTGCCCAGTCGCAATCTGGCCAGAGATGACAGAGTAATTTGCGATCATGGCGTCACTCAAAGATCTCCATTTATTGAGGAGCGCCTTGTGAGTTTTCTGCTGCACTTGCAACCACTGCAAAAGTGTTTTCCGCCTCTTGGACCTGGAGTTGGCGACAAGACGCTCCTCAGGATCTGTGGATACCACTTGGGACTCAGGAAGACAGCCTGGAGAGGCAAGAAAGCCCTTCAGTTCGGCTCCAGAGTGGCCAATAGCCAGCAAAATGCAAATGATATCTCTCAGTTTCTCACCTGATATGCCTGAAATGATAAAACGTGCAAGTATTGGCTTAGAAACTTTCTCAGAAATAAGCTTTTTAAACAACACCATAAAGACGAAAACACATATTTTTTGATTACTTTTTGTATAACATGTATAATTTCACTGATGAAGGTGAATTTATATTTTTAAAAGGTTCTTTACAAATAAAATTCTTCATAAATTTGATAATCAATATACACTCTATATCATTTATCATTTTTAAAGTTGACGAAATAAAAACTTTGGATTCAATACTCTTTTTTTTACATATTTTCCTCCCTTTCAATTTTATATATTCATCCTATGTAAATATGCAGTGTCTTATGTAAGTTTTTTTTAACTAATAATACAGGATTTTTCAAAGTGAAACTCAAGACAAAAAACTGATCAAAATTCCTCTCTAACAGAAGAAAAAGGACTAAAGATAAAGCAACAATACTCTTTAATGCATTTTTGCTTATAGATTTTTTTTCTCAGCTCTAAAATTCCTTTTACGTTTCTAGTGTTTTTTTTTCCTTCAACAGATAAAGTAAAATCAACGGCACAACAACAGGAAGTACTATAGGTAATATATGTAATGTTTATGTGTTGTTTTTTTTTATATATCTTTTAATTTCTTCATCATCTTTTGCTCCATCAATATATCCATAAGATAGAAAGTACAGGCGAAAATTGTTTCTTCTTCATATCAGAAAGAAAAAAGGAAAAATAGCAAAATAGCGCTTTCAATAGTTTATATATAAGTATAGATTTTTTTCTTCACAATTAATAGACTCCTAAAAAGACTTTTCTTTGCACAAATATTCAATGATTTTTATAGCCAATAATTTCTTTCAAATAACTACTCATCTCTCAACATCCAACTCAATACGCAACTAAAGTATTCTCTTCCTCTCCATTTGCATCTTCCGTGATTCACATTTTTCTTTTTTTGCAAGCAGATACCAATTTTGGTGTGTTAATATGATTGTATAATAGTTAGATAGAATTAAATTAACTCGTATTGTCATAAATATTATAATATATAAAGATATTTTCTTTTTCTTTCAATTGTGTGTATGTCTTCACTCCATGTGTGTCCACGACAAAACATCCTTCAGTTCTGGAGGGGAGGGAGGGTGGTTAGAGAAGTAAATGTACGCTAGCAAGAACACCGAGGACGCCTGATGAGAATACCAAACAACAAGGTCAATTGGATGCCCCACAGAACTCTTGCCACGGCGCAGCGACGCATCACAACTTACCATTTAATTAAGTATTCATTACGTTAGTTGTCGTCTTTTGCCGAGATTTTGTCGTCTCCATCCTGTCTTTTGCGCCCTCCGCGCTTCCTTTAGTACAGTGAATGCACGATTGATTCGCGATCGGGCAACTGACGCACCTTCATGGAACCATCGGCGCCGCAGGAGAATAAATGCCCATATGAGTCCACTTGAATCTGAGTGACACCCTGTCCGATGTGCTTGAAGAAGCTCCCCTTGGCGTGCTCGCCAGGGAATGAGTAGAGTGATGTGTGCACCGTGAGTCCCCAAACCTGCAATTCATCGCGCCAATCAATTACCACTGTAAATGCCAATTGTATTTGTGGTATTTTACCTTCAAATCTCCATCAGCTGAGCCAGTGACAAAGTGCTCCTCATGCGGATCAATTGCCAGACACTTGATGGCACTCTCGTGGGCCTGAAAGGAGAGCAAGATTGTGTAAATCTTCAGGATATTCGGAGGAAAAGCGATGAAATCCTTACAGGGAATCTGTGTCTCAACACTCGCTGTCGCACGTCAAAGATGCACACATCGCCCTTTTTGCCAGCAGATATCAACAGTTGATGCTGAGGAGCATAAACCACACTTGAGGCACCCTGATCGTGGCATGTGAAAGCTGAGGAGAAAACATAAGTCAGCAATCTTAAATTAATTGAGCAATTCTCTCTCTCAAACACTCACAGGCTACCAAGGCTTTCTTCTGAGGTAGAAGTGTGTCCCACAAACCGACATTCTTATTCTCAGAACTATGACCAGCTGTAATGCAAAAGACAATTAATCACATAGCACAATTGATACGCATTCATTCACACAACTCACTTGTTGCTACTAAACTGCACGAACCGAGGAATACAAAATCTGTGATGCCTTTGTTGTGACATTGCATCGTCTGAGGGGAAATGTACAAAAGAAATATTCAAGAATACATCTCACAAATAAAATGTGCTATGGAAATAACTTACAAAGAATGGCCTATTGCACTGCGAGGCGAGTCCCACTTGCCACAAACTGAGATTTCCATCCCCATCGGCGATGCCGAACTTGTTGCCATGCTGAGAAAATCTACACCGAGTGACTTTGGCGAAAGTTCCAGGCGGTCTTGGTGTGCACACAACCTGCTGATGACCCCACTCCCACATCTGCACAGAGCCATCCTGCCCACCAGTTAGGTACAGGGGCATCAGTGGGTGAGCGCACATCCTCTTGATGTTGTCCACCTTGTGTTTCAGCACCTGAAGAGTCGCACAGATTTCAATTAGATTCAACAATAGTCTTTTCAATTGCAATCACAAACACAAAAAATACATAACAACATCACGAGAATAGTGTAGATGAAATCATAAAGAGTATATTGTTAATTGAAATAAAAAAAAAGATATCAATTGCATATAATATTCTTCACAATACCGGCTTCAACATGTGCTTTGAACGCTCAATGACCATTTTACAGAAGCGTGGATCATGACATCCGGGAAATGTAGCTCCTTTAATCTTTTGGGGTTTATGATATTGGTTGATAGGTGTTCATTAGTGGGGAATTGTATGTTATTAGACACATTTTACCACAATTGATTGATTAAATATTTATCAAGCAGTTTGAGTTGCATGACATGATGATGAGCAGCACATCCAAATAGACAGACAACAGAAAGGTTTACATTAAAATTCACTCGCGGCTCATCTCTCATCTAATATTGATTTAGCAGTTAAATATTAATCACACGTGAAAGTGATTCCACTGGCGAGAGGAGTGAATGAACTTGAAAAAGAACACGACACTCACCACTGACGCTCCTCGACCTGACTGACCAGCGATTCCTGGCTGTGGACTCGCTGGCGTTGCGTAATTCTGCACAGTGTTCACTCCCGGATTGACGATGTTCCTGCAAGGCACATCAAGAGAGAGAGACAAGTCAGCATCATATGAGTACGGAATTGTATCAATAGCGAAGGACTCACTTGTCCGTTGATGTTTGAATGACCAGAAATCCACTGGCGGGCATGGTTTCGATGTCCTTACTCAGATTCATGATGTCAAACTCACACTCATCCTCTAGCCAATTGGGCGATTCAAGGAGCAGAGAGATGTCCATTTCCTGTACTTCGCGTGGTGTCGCCAGAGCCAACATTCCCGAGTTCACCATGTTGAGACAGAAGGCCGAAATGGACTCTTGATCCTTGTGAATGATTCTCACAGGCTCAGGAATGTTAATGTTGCGATTTGCCTCCTCAGTTCCACCGCCACCCCCGCCAGGAGTGTCCGTGCCTCCGGCCACAGACGATGTGGAGGAAGCTGTTGGAGCTGCTGTCTCCACAATCGACACCAGAGATCGTCTCTTACCGAACACTGCCCTGATGAAGATGTCCTGCACAAGATCCTGACGCACTAGGTAATTCCACAGCCGCCTAGCGGGCGCCGCGGACGCCTGAATGGGACTAAATGGCGTATTCGACTTCTCCAGCAGAGATCGGTACTTGTGGATGGCAGGTCCCTTCGCCTCGGACTCCACATAGCAACCAGGAATGAAGTCCACTGGAGCTGGACCACGAGTCTCCACCTCCTCTCGCAGAGCATCCTGCCACATGGACATCGTGCGGAGAATCCCGTGAATTAGTGGACTAGCGACAGGTAACTCTTGCATTTCGATGCCCGAAATATTGATGAAGTCATGCAGCTGATGTTGTGCCAACTTCACAATTGCCAGCCTCATAATGCACCAAGAGAGTGAATTGGGATTAATGTGCTCAGTGTTCTCGCGTCGGTGCTTCTTCTTGGCAGCCGATGCCTGAGATATTTTCGTGTCGTTGGCCAACGGATCGGCAAATACATCCTCATCATCATCATCGTCCAAATCCGACACAGCACTGTCGGCACTGTCATACTCATCCTCATCGGGATCACCCGTCTGGACGGGCTTCATGAGGAAGTACGACACCATTGACATGTCCGGTGGGACAAATTGCTCCCTGTAGGTGGGTTTATCCTCCTTCATGCTCGGCGATCCACTGGGACCCGTGAAGTTGCCCAAGAGTTTCATGTTGAGGTTGATTCGTTGCTTCGTCAGCGATGTCATAGCATTCCACATGCCACCCTCACCCATTGGACTCTCCACACTATCCTGATGCACCTGAGTGGCCACCGCCTGAGCCGCCTGGGCATGTGATGTCGCCTTTCGCAGCAGCTTCTTTACGCCACCACCGTACAGAGAAGCCCATGTGTTGTTGGAGAACTTCTGTCCGGACAATCTGTACAGAATGTGGCAGTCACACGAGTGAAGGGCATACACTAGCAGAGCCATGAATGTCGCCACGAAAGCCTCGCAGAGAAGCACATTGAGTCTCGGTGTGTCCTCATCCTTCTCCCTCGCCAGCAGAGCCCTCAAGTTTGTCACTCCTGGCCACTTTGCCGGCGATGTGCTCACGGTAATTGGCTCATCTGATGAGTACTTTCGTTTCCTGTGATGTACCGTTGCATTGGTCATCAGATGAGAACTCTGGCAGCTGGCATTGAGTCTCGCGAGAGTCTCCATCCCTGGACTGTGGAATCCACTGGATTCTGACGCCTGTTTGACACTGAACGTGTCAGAATCACACAAAGATTGGTAGATGCAGGCAGACAGAGCCACAGCCAACTCCCTGAGAACATTCACCTCCGGCGATAGGGAGATCTTCATCCCAGTTGGCGGATTCTGCAGATCAACAATTGTCTGAAGCATATCGTGTGTGTGACACTGAAGATATCTCACTGGATCGGCAATCACTGTCTTATTCCCAGCCACACAGGCACTCAGCAGAGGCAGAGTGGTGGGGAAGGGAAGTGGGCTGAAGAGTTGCTGCTGTGTCTTTTCCTGCTGCAATTCCTGTAACAGCAGCACCAGCTCCATTCGCACCGAAGCCAAACCACCTCCGCTCGCTCCGTGGAGTGAGCAGTAGCTCAACAGAGTCCTGAGCAGTGTCTCATTGGCCTTGAGCCAGCGCTTTCGCTTAGCCGCCCGTTGCACCTTCGCCTCAAAGTCCTGCTTCTCTTGCATGAGAATCTCATGGAGTGTGGGCTTCTCCACCGTGGATGTCCTCGCACTGGGCACAGGAGTGTCTCTGTCATCGGCATTCGCCGCTCCATCCTCAGTTGTATGAGCTTCAGCATCGGCACAACTGTAATTGCATAGCTGCCGGAGGGCTTCCACCTCGCGCTCCAGCCACACATACAGTTGATACCTCAGCTGACCGCCATCAACTTCATATCCTGTGGCCAGAGTGGACAATTCCTCCATGAGAATCTTGAGGCACGCCACAAACTTCAGCTGCTGCGCCATGATGTCCAGACACCCGAGGCGCTGTTGCTCGGAAGTCTCCTCAGCGTCCGGTGACTGAATGGCCACATTCGGCACCTCCTTCTTCTCCACCTTGAAGTTTATGCCCTCATCCTCACTGTCATCGGCCGCCTCGTCTTCGTCATCCCATTTGATTTTAAACTCATCGTCAGGCCCATTTGACGACAGTCCACCATCTATCGTAGCGCCCCAGTCGAAGGCCCCCGCTGACTGCTGGTTGGACATCGGAGTGCTCCAATCCACTGCGCTAGCAGCTGGAGTACTCCAGTCAAAGTTGGTGCTCTGCTCTTCCTTCTTCTCCTTCTCATCCCACGATATGATGCCCGTGTGAATCTCATTTTCATCCTTCTTTATGTCATTTGGACTGGTCAGCAGACTTCCGCTGTCCTGATCCAGAACTTTCGAAGGAAGTTTGCTCAGCACTTCGAGAGCAAGTGCTGGACATCCCGCCTTGAAGTGAGCATGAGCTGTCGTGAAGTACAATTGCCGCTCCAGAGGAGTGATCGAATCCTCCAATTGCAGCTGCTTATCCACTCCTCTGGACGCCTTCGCCGCTGGATTGTCCCCATAACTGAATCCCGACAGCACAACTTGGGTCTTCTTCTTCTCCATCGCCGTCGACGCAATGTGCTGCCGAATGAGCAGAGGATGCGTCCTCAGGTAGATGTAGAAGTTGAAAACATTGGGATTTGCTGACTGATTGGAGTCATACTTGAGAAGTGGGTCATCATCCTGATAGGCCGCATGGGCGTGACCAACATTGTTAATCAACAGCGTGTTGAGACTGCCTGTGTAATCCTTCAGTATCCAGAGTGCCATTGACCTGAGGAATGGATCCGGATGTGCCTTACTAATATCCTGATTATTGCCATCACTATCACAGCCTAGGATCTCTTCGAAGAGGAGTTTCTTGAAGCTCGGAGGTGTGGGATCATGCTCACCCTCGTACAGTCTCGTTATCACTAGCGCCAACTGAAGATCCTCCAGCTTCGTGAGACACACCTCGAGAGCGTCATTGAGAGAGTTTGCAAGCAAGAAGAATGCCACAGCATGATCAAATCTCTGTTTTCCCAGTAAAGCGAAGGCATTCTTCAGGGCTGCCTTCCTCCATCTGTCGTCATTGAAGTTGTTCGCAAAGAATTGAGTCATCTTCTCGTCACGCTTCGACCGGAAAAGGCCCCACACCACAGACTTCTTCTTCATGGCGATATAGTAGAGAGCCGCATCCAGAGGATCCTGATTGGCCTGATAGGCAGCTTTTGCCAGCTTCTCCACACACTGCCTGAGGATAGTGTTGTTTCTCACCCACCATCCCACGCCCAACTCCTTCAGCGTCAGCCATTTCGCCTGGCCCTTGGCGTAGGACGGGATCAAGTTCAGCAACTCCTCCTCACTTTCCGAATGGAAGGCCCAAACGATGTTAGATGTGGCCACTCCTTGCTTCTGGAAGTTGGTTCTCTCGCGCAACGGCAGGCATCTCAGTAAATAACTGAAGTGCTTCATTGCCAGCAAGAATCTCAGGCCGCAATCATCTAGGGAATCTGTGGAAATGTTCTCAGAATCCGGCACACCGGTCAGATTCTCCTTCGCAATGGCCGTCTTGGCGGCATCGATGGCAAATCTTTCCGCAAAGTCTGTGTTACATGTGGCCACAGTGTCCGCCAGAGCGAGCAGATGCATCTGATCCAAACTGGACAAGCCCGGCAGATGAGTGTGCGTTAGCAAGCGCGACAGCAATTGTCCTTGACGCGGTCCAAAGTGACTCAAACTCTGGCGCTCAGGAATTGATGAGCGCCTGTCAAAGCGCCGCGGCGAATCTGTCTCCTCGTCCAATAGATCATCCAAAGATTCGTCCTGATCATTTACATTGCCATCAAAGAGCTCATTGTAGTCCTGAGAAAAAATATCAGCACATCAAGAACTGAGCATTCTTCGCAAATCTTCTTCCTTTACCTTGACTTCTTCAGTTTTCTGGGATGTCACTGTTTCCCGGTCAGCGGCTAAAAGTGTCCACAATGGAAGTGGGGGAATCGACGTTATCTCCGCATAGTCCAGTGTTAATTCTTCCGGAATCTTCAATAAGATAATCACAAGTTAATCAAGATACTGCCCCGTGACAATCTCTTCACGCAGAAAATGAGGCAACAAACAATAATAGATGGTAAGAGTCGTAAGTGTAATGATAGAGAAAAAATGTCGCATACAGAGAAATATTGAAGATACAGATAACAAAAGCATACAAATTGTGAAATACAATCGTAGTATATTGTCAAGGTAACTCTCATGGAAATCACCTCAACGTGAGATGTGATTAAGATGGATTAATATTATGTGATCTACACAAAAAAAAGACTTCTGCCACAGAATGTCTTAATTAGCATCGCATCAATGGACAAAAATATCAACAAAAAAGAGTGTCACCTTTTATCAGACTGACGATATTTTCTTACGCATTTCTTAGAAAAAGCAATGATAGACGAGATAGAGAGAGAGACATAAATGAAAACAGTCGCACCTGTGTTGTGGATCCTCTGGGTTCGAGAGGACTCGAAGTGCCGGGAATGTAGCTCACAGAAAGTGTGCGAGATCTGGACCAACCTCGCTGCAAGACACAATCGTCACAGACATGTTTTTTCATTGGTATTCCCTCAACTCTCCTTCCAATTCATATGTATAGAAAAGCTACCCAAAAACGGGGCTTTCGCATCAAACTTTGACTCTTCTGATTACAGACTTCCAATGAAATTCATCGTCTTTGACCATACAATCATTTACGATAGTCTTTGCCACATTTTGGGATCACTTTTTCACGGTCAATATTTCAAATCAATCTTTTCTTCTGGCTGACGGATTTTATTTTTAAACATCCTCAAAATGTGTCAATTCTATTTGCACTGTGCCAAACAGAAATGAAAAGAAAACGTTTGCCAATTCCAGGAAATTTGCCAAATAGAGTACAATAAAGAAGGGAAAAAGAACAATAATAGTGGTGTGTAAATAAAATATAACACAATTACATGTGAAATGCAAGCCAATCACTCGAAATTTCAACTTCTTCTCATCAAAAGTACAGGAAAGTATAAATGGTGTGTAAATTTATCTACAAAAGGAACATGAACCAAAATCTACCGGACAGGAAGAAAACTCAAATATCGGTCAAACGTGTGATATCGCAATGATTAACGTGATAAATCGCTCAATCAGTGATCTGGAAACAAACAACTCTCCGTAAAAGAAGGGGTGATGATCACATTGGTCAGTCACAAATATTATAATATGAAGGTAGAAAATTCTGCCCCTTGATTAAGGGTGAAAAGAGTGAGAGAGAATCTGGTAATGATGATAGAAGAATGGATGCAAAGCTCACCTGTTTGTTGAGGCTCTCCTCATCGCCGCCGCCACCGCGCATGTACGTTCCACTGATGCATCGGACAAGATGAGCCAAGATTGCCTTCACCCAGCGTATTTTGCCAGAATTCAGAAGCTCCATCAGCTGCTTGGGATGATATTGTGGCAGCACAGGACAAGCTATCCTGGACGCCTCGAATAAGCCATAATCCGGCATGTAGTCATGCTGTTGGGGTTGATCACCAGTTGCGCCATGCATTTGTCCCTGGCTCGATGATGCCGCCTTTCGCTTCTTCTCCGTTGTCATCATTTGCAGATTCATGGAACTCACGCGGGACAGATGAGGCATCGATGACACACCCGCCAGGCGTCTCTGGGAGCTCTCAGCAGCAATCGTCCGGAGATCCTCGTCGCGCAAATTGCGATTGTCATAGAGATCCTCAATGTCGTGCACACCCACGATCTGTCGAGACTTCCATTGCGTATACACGTGCATTTCAGAGTCCATGCCCACCACCAGGATTCCATCTCGCACCCAGGATATCTGCATGGGCAGCGGAGGCAGGCCATCAGCTGTGTTCAGATCAATCTGCCTGAGCTTCATCCAACGGATCTCATCGTTGAAATGAGGCTGAGCCAGAGAACTGGCCTTCCGCAGAAGTGGTCTGTTCGTCGACTGGGACTCCTTCATGGCCTTCATGTTGGCCTGCGCCAGATCACTGGACACCGAAGTATACAACATCACCTTGCTGCCTACAGCCACTGTCAGAATGTGCGATCCATCCTCCTTGGACACCCAGTCTAGCTGCACCAGATGTTTCTGCGTCAGTGGACAGGTGTTGCCATGCTCAGAGATGCTCTTTCTCAGCGACTGGAGTGTGCTGAAGCTCGGCACAGCCAGCAAACCGCTGGGCTTCGACAAGCTATCCGGTGTAACATCACCATTTCTCTGCTGTCGCACCTCTTCGTGACTAGTAAAGGTCTGCAGAACCTGCGTGAGGCGCTGCTTCTTCTGCAAGAACCTGTTGTCGTGAAGATAGCTAAGGTCCAGGTGAGGATCCATCTGCATCCTGGGCAGGTGGATGTTCTTTAGGTGAATTGTATCTTCCAGCACCCATTCGCTGCCGCCAGTGCTCTCACATTCATAAATCGCCACGCACAAATTCACATATCTCGACTCTGGATCACCTCCCTTATTAGGGCGCGTGAAGGACTTGCCGTACTTGTAGGCACAGGCTATTCTCCCAGAATACGCAGCACTGATATTCAGAGGTTGTCCAGAGATCTCAATAGTAGATTCGCGATCCTTGCTGAGCATCTCCCACTCACACCACTCATAGCTATACTGAGTCGCATCATCATTGGGATCAGCATCATCTCGCTTCGTCACTTTGCAGCGCCAGAATCTCGATGTGGAGTCCGAGCACGCCGTCACGATGATGTAGGGCGCGAAGCAGGCCGGATAAATCGATGAAGAACTCAAGTGACCCGCCGCCGGTGAGGCATGAATCACATCCACACCATCAGGCAGAGGGAGATCTTGAGTGCACACTTTCGTTGTTGTGATGCTTACATGTGGTTTCTCATGCGAGTGATGCTCATCCGCTGCGATGTTAAGACCAGAAATCGAACTCCTCGGTCCCGGCTCAGGATCATCCAAGTCCTGAACGATATTACTGTCTGGCACGTACATCATGCTCTCTGTCATTTCATTCTGACTCGGCTGCGAGGCAATCACCAGGCGCCACATGTGAATTGTGCTACCATTGTGAGTTCTCTCCAGGATGACTATGTAGAAGGGCTCCTCAAACACAGCATTCCTCTGCAAATCCACCATCGCCCCCATTTGTGTCTCCATCAAACCAATATTCATTCCCTCAATTGGATCTGAGTGCTTCTCGTCACTCCTCTCGCCTGTGATGAGCTGTTCCTGGAATACATGCAGGAACTGCGTGTTCTGCCAATCATGCGTGGCATCAGCGATAGCATCCAATTGAATAATACACCCTGGACGGGCTGTAGATTGCTGTGAGACAATCTTTATCTTGTCGTGAATGGATGTGTGATGGATGCCATTATCACTTGAGCACTCCGTTGACAAAGATACCATCGAGTCCTTGAGACGACTGCGACGCTCTGATGTTGAGATTTCCGCCAGCAGCGTCCTGGCATCAATCACTGCCTGATACACCCTCAGGCACTCCCCGTCGCTGGCCACAAAGCAAGCCGACGAAGAATTGCTGAGGTTGCCGAGAGTTGTGCTGGGCAGAAGTGTTGGAATCCATGCCACATTGCTGAACGCCGAAATTTCAGGAGAGTTTATTCTCGCCAACTCATTTACGCCCCCAGATTGGGAAAGTGGCCCCACGGCGTCCACTCGCCACAGAATCAGCTCCGAACAGAAGCCTGACGGGGCACAAACGTCCCTGCCCTGGCCAGGACGATCACTGTGATAGCGCCCGGGCACTGTTGACGATGCCGTGGGAATGTCTGGAATGTTGTGATGTGACGTTGTGAGCAGAAGCGGCAGAACCGGATGGCATGTGATGTCATTCACTCGGAATCGATGACCGGACACTCTCGAGGCATGCCCAATGCTCAGGACTTGGGTAAACTTTGTCTTGTCCGCGAAAGTAAGCTGCCAGAGATTGAGAGTTCCATTTGAGTGCTTTGTGACCATGGAGATTGTGGGAGAGGGCGGTGATGACATGAGGTCGGAATGTGCAGAGTTGCTCTCATTGCCCTGGCCAGAGTCATTGCCTGACGCCCCAGTGTTGGGCTGCTTCTGGCTATCCTTCTCCCCATCACCAGTAGCCTCTCCTTCCTCGTTGGCAGGCTGCTGTCCAGCCGTCCAATCTGTCTCCGCCTCCTCCAGCACACTCGGCAGCGGCGTCCCAATGTCCTGGACATTCTCACCCGCTTGACTAGACGGCGCCGTGGGCTTGGCACCTTTCACCATATCACGGAAGTGGAGCAAATTTCCGCCTGTGTTGTATAGACTCACCGTTGTGGACATGGACATGGCATCTCCGAGAGGGAAGGCCGACGGGATGCGCGTGGAGAAGGACACCTGCGCCTGCCGGAAGCTCCCAGGGTGGTATTCATCCAACCACTCCACCACCCAGATCAAGTAACTGCCATCGATAGGGTGAATGGAGAAGAGGAGATCGGGATTGTGATGCCAGTCCCTCAGCAGACACTCAATCTTCATGTCCAGCGAATCCGTTGTGTGCACCGCTGCGTCCGTGGCCAGAGAGTTAAGTGATGTGGTGTTGGATATTGAGTGATGACTCAATATGCCGGCATGAGATCCTGACCTATTGGAATGCGTGTGGTGTTCATCACTGTTACTCTCATCGTGAGAAAAGGACTTGATGGGCTTTGATGACTTCTTCTTCTCCCCACCGGCCTCAGAATGTGGCTCCTCCTGAGCCTCTTGAGCCTCAGAGTGCGCTTCGCTGTTCACATTCGACATACTCTGCATGTCCTCCTTCTCAATCACCTTTCTCGCCATTTCCTGGAGAATAGACTCCGCCTGCAGGGAGAAGTGCATCTCCTTGTTGTTGAGCCAGTGCAGAATGAAGTTGGGCTGAGTCGAGGGATCGTTGGTCTGCATCGACGGCACCAGTGGAATATCCGTCTCGGCATTGATTGACGCCGCCAGGTGAAAGTGCAGCCCAGGAGTCACGCCAGTGCCATGATAGCCATAGGAGTGGAAATCATGAACACTGTACGTGGAAGGAAGAGACGGAATCGGAGCATGACCGAGATTTGTCCCCGCCCCCGGACCACCAAAAGCTGGCCCCATGCCATTGAGTCCCAGGGCGCCCTGGTGCTTGGCATGGCGGCGAATGTGGAAGCACGTCTTCATGTGCTTGAGGCGCTGCATGAAGCGATGCTTGTGCCGATGCGTCCGGAATTTGGGATTCTGCGTTGCCAATGGATCAAACTGATTCATATTGACCAAACCGTCATCGGGCAGAACTGTCTCCACCCAGATGCGACATATATTATCTAGACAGGAGGTCACCAGCATATTTGATACAGCACCCTTTGGCATATACTTGCTGGTCTTCCTCCACGACAAATGAGTCACAGCACGTGGATGAGCAACATACACAAATCCATAGTTGAGCTCCTGTGGCAGCTGGTGCGAATGCATAGAAGTGTAGTGCGCGGAGTCGAGACTCTTCGTGGGAAACAGAAGATGCTTGTTCTCATACCACACCTTCACCAGACGATCACTCTTTCCCGATGTGGCAAACAGCGTCCCATCCGGACTGAATGCCATGTGATGCACCGGCGTCGCTGTGTGGCACTTCCACACACATTCCCACCCTATCTCTGTCTCCTCCTCACCTGTCGGCGTCTTTGGATCACGATCACCGCCAATCTCAAATGTCACAGTGTGTGTCTGCTCATCATCCACCTTCGACACGCGCTCATGCCACATCTGAAGATTCACACCACCCGTCAGGAGCCGCGACCCCTCCAAATTCCACGACAGAGAACTGATGTGGGAGCTGGCTTGAAGACTCCCGGTTTGCACCCACCTGGAAAAAGGACAGCGAAATGAGCTCATGCCAAATTGCTTCTTATCACATTAAAAGTTTGTCTGTATATTACGTCCTACATGTAGAGAAATTGGATTTATTGCCAAAGGGAAACTTTCGCTAAATGAATTCTCCATTTCATTATGACACACAAAATTACGTTCCGCCATACAAGTTGAATTTATTGAAAGTTATAATACAATTCTATTTGAAATTGAGATAATTCCATTAGCCAAGCAATATCCTTTTCATTCAGTATTACAAATGCTATTGACATATCCATATCGGAACATTTTCACAATCATCCTAATGGAAAATTCGATGTTATCCATAGTCAATTTTCTGCATTTATCACATTTAGCCTTCAAATGGCATTATCACATCCCATTATATATGTATCATACAGCAAAATTGCATTTTTCGTCATTAAATCCAGCATAATGGATTTTTAGTGTTAAATTTCTGCACTTATATATATAGCTTCACGATGTTATAAACTCCAATCTCAGAATCAAATGCCTGCTAAAGGACAGCAAGCGAGATAATTATCCCTCCATGGGTTCATGAGTTCATTATTATGCTGTAAATGTCCTTATATACTTCATTACACTGGAGAATTGATCTTGTGTGAACTTTCAGATGAGGGCAACGGTTATACTCACTTGTACTCCAAGCCATGTTCCGATGGGACATCCCCGTGAATGAGTGGAGTGGGCTCAAAGATACACACTTTATCTTCATAAGCTGCAGCGATTTTACCCGTATCAGTGCTACAATCGAGGGCGGATATTCGGATGTAATTGTGAGTGGCTCCGGGAATTATTTGAATACGCTCGAAGGTGCTCGCCAGAATGACAATATTGCATCCTGCCGCATAGGCCTGCAAACACACAAACAGATCATACATTGGTGAGATCGAATTTAAGATTCACAAATAGTATTTTCTATCTCTCTCAATTACACATATATATTCATTTGTTATTTCACATTGAATAATTAGAAAACTGCATATTTTATCAAATTGCTTCTCTCCTACTCGCGAATGCATTTTGCAATGTTCTTCAGCGTGGCGCCAAATGCGATTTTTTACGTAACACATCTTGGCCTCAACACTTGCACATTGAATATGGCAGACACCTCATTTTTGCAATTTACATTACATGTATTTTTAACTCAGAATGTCAGTGAAATTGTGCTAATTTTGGACAAAATTGAAACGTAATCATAAATTGTGTACTTCGTGTAGTCCTAGAAAACAAAAGGATATTTCATTCCTCCGCTAATGTACTTTCCTACAAATGTCACTTTGTAAAATGTAACACCCTCTCCCTTTTTATCCACCATTTCCACCCCAAATACATTTTAATTTCTCTACTCACAAATTCTCATATTACCACAAAATGTGGCGACACGAATTACGAATTTTCGCAGTATATTTAGGGAAAAACGAACAGAAGGGGAAAATGGGATTTCAAGTGACTTTTATGAATTAATATTTTGCTATAGAATTACTATGATTACATGGGGAAAATTGTCATGTTGAATTTTATCACGCATTTCAACGACTCCTCATTTTGCGCCTCTCACGAGAATCTGTGGTATTTCAATTATGAAGGTTAAAAAAGGCATAGGTCGGAATTTTCTCATATATTTCCCACACTCGCATCTTCACGCTTCATCTCTCTCTCTCTCTCGGTCATGCTCTCTCATCAATTCCTATATAAATTCCGTGCCTCTTCTGCTGCGCCTCATAGATTCTACGCAGACGACAGCTAGACATAATCCCATGGCGGGGGGATGCTCAATGGGCGTTAAATGATGTCTTTAGCAATCAAACAGTCACCCATATAAATGCGTCTCCCTCGGCAATGCTTCCGCCATTGATTGCGGTGCTTTTATGAGCCCAGACGCGTTTTTCCCAAAGGATAGAAAATCCTCATTTCTCACTCGACCTCTGCTGTTCTCGTCTCAATATTTAAAGAAGACCCATTGTGTGATGAGATATCGATGAGACACACAATTGATTGCTGATAAACAGTACATTCCTGCTTGTGGTCACTCCTCATAAATTTCCCTGAAAACTGTATCACCAGCTCATGTTTCGTGCTGTGGCCATAAATCAATAAAGAGGAGAGACATCAGAGAGGAAGGAGAGAGAGAAAAAAAACACAACAAATTTACTTCAATATTGAATGATAGAAAGAAGTCACACATGGTCACTGCTTTTTCAATTATTCACCATTATTTTCTATTGTGCCTCCACAGACTCTTCCTCGTCTGCGTCCTCTTATACTTGTGCAAAATTGGCATGGCACGATGGAGGAAAAAAAACTGTGACGATATATGGCACAAAAGCCAGTGGCAATAGGTGGAAAATTTACACAGTTGCCCAAATTAAATAACATTGAGCTATACACATTTTGCATAAACATGGCAGTGTAACTCTTCCAAATAGAGGAAATGGAGAGACCATTGATATTTCCCCACATGTGAGTATCTCTCACTCTCTCATTCTCCTCCGCCTCGGGAATACCAATTTGAATCACACTTCCAAACATGGACGTAAATTTTCCCATCGCACCAAATCTTATCACATCGACACCATTGTCCCTCCCCCTTTTATCTCCGCGCGCCTCTCACACATCGCAAGAATATGTGGTCCACGTTTTCCCCCCACCGTGAAGAGAACGGATAGACATTTTAATTGCTCTCGACACACTCCTGAAGCGTCCGCTGGCATGTGTGTCTGTGCGATATCACTTTGGGGGAGACACAAATGTTGCCAGCGTGATGAGGTCAGGTGAAGAAAAAGTCAGCTGACTCCACGCAATTGGTAATGGCAATGAAATAGAATTGAAAATCGACCAGTTATTGAGTGTATTGTGTGACAAATGGAGAGCAGAAGAAGCGAGAAAATATGCGAACCTCTCATTTATTTGTCTCACTGTGTTACTTGTCAACAGAATTTGTTATCACCTCACGCGACAATTCCCAACTATCATTACTATACACTTCATAAAATGCGCATCTATGAGAGTGATTTTGAGAAAATTACTCGTCCCACTCCAGGTTCTCTACAGTCATTTGCTCTATGTTTACCCCTAAAGGTATTTGTAAATAAATAATAAGCTGATGTAATTGAATTTTAGTGGTGCTTCAATTTTACGATCCTTTCTTAAAGCCTTACAACTAGCGTAAAGATCGAATTTATCATATCAACGCAATGTCTTTGAGATTGAGTGTCTTTGAAGAAGTTGCGGGCGATGATAAAGACTAAAATATCGAGGACATTCTACATTGTCACACTTGTTACATCAGCAAAGATAAAAACTAATAAATCGAACACCAGTAGATACACAATGTAATCTTCGTTATAGTTCTAGATCAGCAAAATTGGGGATCGAACGACGAAAATGATGAGAATGACAAGAAAATACACAGATCTTTCTATTTTTTATCATTCTTAAAAGTAGTTTGTGCAAAAAGATGTATTTTTTCTCCCGTTCAAATCTATAGACAAGACTCCATAAATAAACTAACGTCTAGACCACAAATTTGCCCGGATAGGAATACCCAACATCTCAGTGGATTTATACGAATTTGGAGATTTTCATTATGCAAAACCTAATCCAGATATAACACTTTTAATCTGAATATAATGCCTCCATAATCTGTTTTCTTCTCTTCTACCAGAAATCAGCAGAACCCTAATCAAGAAATGGTAATAAAGTCCCTGGAAAATCGGGTTGCTGCCAATTCATTAATATTTATCACTGTCAAGACTTGCGCGCCAAGACATCGGAAAATCCTGCTGCAGAACATTCGGTCCGACTTCCAAGTCAGCCACAAAAGGCGTAAAGTCAATTCATGAGACAATTCTCACACCCACTGAGCCTCTTTCTCCTCCCTCACGGTCAGCAGTCAGTCACGATAATTGCATAATTGTGAGAATTTGAAACAGCCGGACAGCACGTTCCGCAGATGAAGTTATAATTATAGGAGTCATCATGCTCTCCCTCTCGCATCCCAAAGTGCATTGCTGTGATGAAAAGAGGCCGCCGAAGGGTTGCTCGCCCTGCACAGGCCACCCACCGCCCCTGTGGGTGACCAGAGGATGCGAGAAGGTGGCTGTGCGATGATTTATTGCGCCTCAATCGACTACTCATGGTTGTTCAGTGTGTGTCTTGATTTTCTCCCGGGAGGAGAGCAACAGTGAAATAATTAAGCGCATTTTTATCTGCCTGAATGTGTAAAACACATTATTCATCGCTGAAATTCAATTAGACACTTTTTATCTGGCTCAGGCGGAGCTGATAACATGGGTATTCTTTTCTTGTGTGCGAAAATGTTCCCTCGAGAAAAAGGCGAGAACATTCTGACCCACTTTGGAGGAGAGAGGGAGAGGTTTTTCCACGCGAAAAGCGAGACCTCCCTATCCGGATGGCGAGATGAAAACCGTGTTCATTCACCAACTTTGGGGTCCGTGCCACCACCACCTGGGTGGCAGATGTGGGGGCGACAGCCGGAGGGCTTTAGGTGAGGTGAGGAAAAAGGAACTCACTGTAAACGGGACACCTTCGACGGAGCCAACAGCAAAACAGCGATCCCCAGCATTGCAGGCCCCACTGAGAATTTGATGGCAATTCATTGTATTTCTTCACGTTCCAACACTCGTGTGCACTTTAATTCACATTTGTCAGCTATTTTACATGCAATCCAGACACATTTTCACACCTTTTTCAACACTTTTCTCACTTTTTCCACACATAAGCCCACTTTTCTTCCGACACCATTTTTTCGAACGGAACGTCAGCTGTCTCCGATGGGGTGTCGTGTAATTTCGAAATCGCCCATTTTCGCCGAGTCATCGATATATTGAGCGACGAGCGCGATATTCGCTTGAATTTGAGAGCGACCGTTGGAGTTTTGGCGGGAAAAGAGTGGCTGAGAAGTGTGAAATTGTTCGCAGTGGGTAATTGATTTATTTCTCTTTTGATTAATCATCAATTTACATAAAATATGATTGTCCTTAACATAATTCTACACAATTTGATAAAATGTCAATATATTGATTAATTCGCTTATGCAGTAAAGGTGTAAGAGGATGTTTTATCAAAAAATACACCTCGAAATGTCTTAAAATGTTTCAGCTTCCACAAAAATCTCTTCAGAAAAAATATAAAGCAGTGATTGAGGGTTGGGTAGTGATTAGAAATTCCATTTTTACCACCTGAATGATGGGATTTGAAACACACAGAGAAACACTGGTTGTATTGTATGGTTTATACAGGTCCATATTGATGATTATCTTATTCCCTACTTCAGCAATTTCACGCACGGGACATCTTCTTATCTAAATGATTAGTTTCTTTGAGCATGACTCATGGAGAAATGGGTAGATTAATGTTTGGTTGTACAGTGATTAAGCTAGATGTGCAACAGATTCATCCTCTCGCTTGGAGATCATGCGGATTTATACTAGAATGACTCTCCTTCTCCATGGAACACACATAACGGAGGAAGGTTGAGGGACACAACCGACAAATTGAGGAGCCTCGCCCTCGTCATCTACTTGGGTGCAGCCTTAGGGGTGGACGGACGCGGTGGGGGCACAGGGCCAGAATTGGTGCAATTGCAGATTGCCTCGAAGATCCTGAGGACCACGCCACGAGCTCTGGACACGACCAGTCTGCCTCGCTTCAAGCCGGAAAACACGGAGTTGTTGTTGCCTGTGGAGAAAGAGCTCACAATCATGAGTCATGGGATCAGAAATGCGCATCAATTGGGATGAGGACAAGAATCATTCAACTTTATTGTGCAGCACTATGTGTACATCAGAGGAACGGCACAAAGAACATGCAAACTAGCGTGAAACAGAAAGGCAGCCATCAAAGCCAGTAACAAGCGGTTGCATCTTTAGTCAGCCGGATTTATGGGAAGAGAAAAACGCTCGAATCAGTTTCATAGGCACATTTCGTCGTGAAATATGCCTTATCGCAGTTGTCCTGAGCAAGAGAGAAGCGAAATGTAAGATTATGGGATTCAGGAAGAGGAAGACGTCTTGCCCACTTTATAGCCTTCTTTCACGTTTTTGCACGTCTCCACGACAACTTTAGTCGCGGCTCTCATTTCGGTCGGCAGCATGGTGTCAATCTGCTGCATAATCTTCTGATAGTCCAACTGCTTTTTGCGATTCAACTGCGAAGCCCCGAAAAAAGAGTCTGTGATTGATATGGAGCCAACCTTCAGACTATGGAAATGTGAGAAATCTATTTTGCGTTGGAAGATTTTCCCGAGAGATGTGAGGATTTGTGGCAGAAACTGGTTTGGATGGCTAAGCTTTGCCCTAATGATTTGAAAATGTCTTGCGATATTTCCGCATGATTATACCAATTTAGAAAATCACAATTCAGTGTTAGACTTCGCTAAAGAATTGCCAATTCTAACTATGAAAGCTATAAATACAAAATCCAATCACAATAAATTCTGAGGATTTATAAAAAGCCAAGAGGATAAGAATATTTTTAGCCACTTTCACGGTGGCCTTCATTTCATGCCTTATCGGAGAAAGGTCAGTGCCAGAGTGTTATAAAAAATATTTACACGAGACATCCGTTGTACTCTCGTAAGCATTTCAAAACACACTCAATCGTGAATTTTTTATAAGGATGAATTTTGATTAAAAAAAATACACTTTATGAATGAATTTTCCACTGAGCTTTGTTCACATTAGTAAATCATAAGAAATACTCTGGTGAAGCACAACGCGTAGTTCATGATATCCCAATATGTTAAGAGATACACCTAAGAAATTTTCTTTATGGGACAACCACCCTCATATCTCATGGGGCGGAAATCTTCCCAACACAGCAAAAGAGTGGATTTGTAGTGTCGATAAAATCTCTCACAGCTCCTGCCATGTCCGCCACGCACAGCGTGTAGCATCGCAAATCTTTGTTGTCATCGACAAATTGGCCATTCTTCACGTTGTCCCGTATGTCGAGATCGAGCTTCGGATGTTTGGACGTGCACGCATTCCTAATCACGTCCATCGTGTTCTGTATCTGCTTCATGGTCATCTTTAAGACACACCGGAATTAATCACATTTGCAAAACTGTCTGGGAATAATTGGGGATTTCACATACCGCGCCATTGGATAGAGTAAAAAGGAGGAAATTCAGCGACACAAAAAGCAACAAACAATCATATCTCGCGAATTTCATTTCGTGCTGTCGTCATTCTTTTGCGATAACATTGGGATAACTGAGTTTAGACGCAAGCTCTCAATTGCCTTTTATCAGTCTCGTCTTACTAATCTCAGATCATTTTAATCACTGTGCATTCTCGTGCAAATTAACATTCCACCCGGAATTATTGCTCGTGCGCCTCAGTGAGCGAGGGTCAATATGTGAATTTATCTGTTATAAATGCTATCGGAACTTAATTTTGGGAAAATTCTCTGTGCGTTTTCGTCTCAGATTTGCCTCAAAATATTGCGCAAATATTTTTGTTCACTCTGCCAGATTGGAATGATTCATTAGTTGAATGGCCTGTTTTGCAAAGCAAACAGAAATAATACGATTGTTTGCGTTCAGTTTCATACAAAATACTGCTCATTGATAACTCCCAAAGTTAACACAAGATCCACTGCTAAAGGTAAAAGGCAACAAGTATCAAAATTACCGCGAGCGTGCGGCGAATGTGCCATAGGCCTTGTCCTTACCTCGACGCGGGCATAGAAAGCACCAGACATCATGCAATGCATCATTGGATGTGACAAGGGGCGCTCCCGCCACGCGATTATATGGAGTAAAGATGCTCACAAGTCAGTTTAATGTAATTACATGGCTGGCAGGTCAAATGGAAGATAAAACACCAGCCCGAAAGCACGGAAATCAATTAAAGCTCACACGGTATTTAGCAAAAAAAAAAAGAAGAACTGCACAGCTAAAGCTCTTCCGTGTGTGAATTGTGTGACACAGCGTGTGGGATAATTCTGATGGTTTAATTAGCGTGCCGGATGAACAGGTGAAATTCTGAGAATGAGGATTAATTGCTTCCTTACCTTCGCGATTCTTACTGGCCTGCAAGTGGAAAGTCATCAAATCACTCGGATTATTAGAGCTTCAAAGCTATGAATTTACTTGTTCTTACGTTCTTCAACTCGAGCCTCTTCTCCGTCTCCAGGCGCGCCTCTTTGAGAATCCCGTCCACGAACTCCGCCATCTGGTCCATTCGCTCGGGATCCTCCTTGAACTCCGCTATTCTGGCGTCCAGAGGCATCGTGGTCGGTGTCGACAAATCCAAACTCAATTCCGATCTCATCGTGTTCCTCATGCGTTGACTTTCTCGCTATATAAACCAATAAAATTCCTAAAGCGGCGCTCAAGTGTCGGAAAAATCCTCTCTTCGCTTTCTCAACTTCTCGTCTACAGCGACTTCAAGTGGAATCTGCAATGAAACGATGCGACGTTTTAGGATCGATAGAGACCATATTCTCTATAGAGTATTTGCCATAGATTAAATTTTCACTCAACGGCACGAAAGCTCACTGGCAAACTCAATGAAGTTATTCCGCAAGAATACCGCCAGCAAATTACTATGTATTTTTCATTTGATAAAAATGAAATAGAGCATTTTATTGAGCGTCATGAAGGAATTTCCGGGATCTCAATGAATGGCATTTCACGGAGAACGCGATTGCTACGTTGAAAAGCAGCAAATTTAGGCTAGAATTGTGGATGAAGCACGCAGAATTGAAAATTTAATTACCCAGCATGAAATACATGAATATTTATTTGCCACTGCAGTCGCGTGCACGAAATTCTCACAAATTTCATTCCAATAAAGGATCCAGTTGCGAGACAGGAAATTCGACAATTCAAGGCGCAGTTCATGCTGGCAAATATTTTCCAACCCATTTAATCTTGCTACAAGCTCACCAAAAACTGGAATTTCGTTTGAATGAGGAATTATTTGGCGAAAAGGCAGTAATTTTAGGTTGAATGGCAATTTAAATGAAAAGTCCATAACTTTTGTGTCGCTTTTGGAAGCGGAAACTTTGTAATTGCAATCTAAAAATAAAACTGTGTAAAATCGCTTTAATTCTCCTTAAGAGCAAATAGACATGCCATAAAATGCACAATTTTTCGAGGCACAACCACGAAATTTAAAACTATTTCGACTATTTCGGAGTCTTCAATAATGGTTAGAATAGAACTTACACATGTGAGACATTTTGTTATTTTTACAAATCTATTTGTGAAGAATTTTTGACTGGAACGTCTGTAAAATCTTTATTAAATAATACCTTGTGATGGCTGTCAAATGTGAAAAATTGGCTTCTATATAAGTTTCCTCCATAAATGATAGAGTTCTCTGTGGAAAAGTTTTATAATACCTCTTATATTTTCCACCAACATTCTCTGAACAGTTGCACTGTGAGATTCTCTGTTCCGATATTGGCTTTTTAGATGATTTCCATCAAGATTTCCATGAATTCAGCTCAATTCAATAAAGTTAGGAACTTTCGACAAGCCTTTTATAATTGAGTGCCATTCAATTGAGTGTAAGAGCAACTCTGGCAGTTTGTATTGCTCTTTCGGTTATATCAAAACTCCAGTTCTAGCGACTAATGAGATTCATTACCCGTAATTTCTCAAATGTTCCGAGGCAGTCGATGTAATATAGTCAAAATAACTGATTTCACTAACTTATTTCCTTCTAATTATCCACACCTGCCCTCATGGGAGGAAAGCCATATGGAAGATATGTGATTTCGCGTGGGAAAATTGGAGGTTTTCGTGAAAATAGCCACTTAGCTGGAGAGTGGAGGCTCTTACGTATCGTTGGACGTCGCTCTGGGAGCGCGATGGTGAATTATGATCGGGGCAGAGCGGACTAATAATTGCCATGTCACAGAGAATAATTGCAAATGCGATTTGTAGCCATACTATCTCGACGTGTAGAGAAATCGCGAATGAAATATTCAAGTCCCATTTGGTGAACACTTGTATGTTGAATGATTCTTTTGAAGGCGAAGGCAAGGATATGGTCGGAAGGGCTCGTCTCTGAATTTAGAAATTCAATTTGTGTCATATAGAGATACAATACTTGTAAACATCACAGAATTTGAATCAATAATCTCTATATAATATGACATTGAATATGAGAGCTCGAGTGGAGAATTTCGCCTCTCATGCAGAATATTTGCTCTCTCATTTCTTTGCTGAGGCGTGGAAAAAATGGGATTTTGGGCATAATTTGAAATTTATTTATTCCGCTTTTATGTGCAAATATCAAATTTCTCCTCATTCGTGCTCACGTGTCAACCATCCTCGCGTTCTCGCCACTTCCTTCCGCAATTTTCTCCTCCTCCGCCCCCTGATTTTCTGGCGAGCCGAGGAACTTTTCCCCATTGTTAAGTGCGCCAGTACATCAGCCCATACGTTGGCTCTCTCATCTCCCTCCTGGCGCGATACAGAGCGAACTACACGGTGTGTGCATTGTGATAAAAGTACACAATGTACAGGCAGGTATTGAGTATTTTTTCAGGTGCTAAAGATACGGCTCAGCCGTGTGTTAGTTCTTCTATATGGAAGGTTATTAGTAATTCTCGACGTAATACCATAGAGTCTCGACTGTGATATTGAACAAACACACGTTCAGCTCGTAACTTTCTGCTCTCTTTTTTATATTTCCATACATCGTCTACCATGTAAGATAGTCGAAAAATCTAGATATTTCATCAATAAATGGGATTTTACCACATTTTCACCCTTGTTTTCACCTCTTGACTGAATTCTCTGCGCTCTTATTTTTGCTAAATCATACCTTTCACTCCGCTTTTCCCATTCCCCAGTTTTTGGAAAATCCGGACAGACTCGCGGTGGAAAAAAGCACCCACAGTAAAAATAAACCCTCCTTGCTAATGAAAGGAAATCACAAACATCCTTCTTCTCCACCCTTCGCCCTGTGGCTCAAAAAATTGATTTTCCCTCCCTTCAGTCACACATTCGGGAGACTCACTTCTTTGCCAGCTGAACACACTCCGTCGTCCACTGGAAAATCCCAAATCACCAACCACAAAACCCTGTTCCGTGAGTCAGGGCACAGAAAACGACAATTCACACGAAGTGCAGGGACCTGCCACAGGAGACGAGACGACCCTGGCTGGTGGATGCGCGCTGAAAACTGTGGAGCTCGCGCGAAAACTGTCGGTATGACCAGTGCTGGAGCGTGTGGCACACATTTCTCCATTGAGAGAGAGAGAAACTCAGAATTGTGGATACACCGGAAAAATGCGTGTCTCATCACCCACTCATTTGCATAAGCCGAGAGATTCCCGTGGAGTCTTTAAGGCATTTCCAGCAGAGAAAATCCTACTAATTGCACAGCATTGTCATGTGTGCCAATTTACCAAATTGACGGCAATTTCATTTCATTGAATCATTGTGCGTCGTCAGGCAATTACTGTGGCGAATATGAGGCCTGACAATGAGTTGGAAATGTTTCTGAAAATTTCCCCACACTTTGTTGTCATCTCAAGATTTACAGTTTTTGCATTATTATCTATATGGCATGGCGCTTTCGTTAGATAACACTGATTAAATACGTTGTGTGAAACATTAACGTCTCTGTGATTTTGTGGGAATATCTTAATAATGAAATCAAAAGCAAAGAACAGGAGATTGTGAATTATGTTTCGACTATGTTAATGGAAATTATACACAGTTCAATGTTCTCAGTACGCAAAATTTTGAGAAAATGAGTATTTCTCAATTCAATTCAACTACAAATCGAATCCGTCGCATACTGAATTAGGCGTAAAAACACGGCTTTGAGGTCTTCTTATTGGATTTTAACTGAAAATGTCTAATAGGGGTTTTAATTACTAGATTTGCAGTGGTATAGAACAGATAATTACAGTCCAATTATGTAGAAGAATTTCTTAGCTAAACAGCTGTGAATAACTTGAATACTCTACTGCGAACTTTCAGGAAAGCTTCCACCTTAGCAAGGAAATACTTGTGAAACGTGGCAGTGTAAGTTGTACATACTTCTCTCTCTCTCGTGCTCTCCGCCACATATTTATCCATTCATTGGCCTTTTCTCGACAATATGGAAAGGGTGGCAGCGAGGGTGAATAGTCCTGAGGCCCCTAGAAAACTCTCAAGAAACATGCGCACATTTTCACACAAATCAATTCCTCAATAACTCTGGTGAATCCCTTGGGGATTTTTCAGCAATTTCTCCTCGTGGAGCAATAATTCATTCTCTATCCCACAGTGTCTCCCCATCCTTGTGGCTTCTCTTTTTTACGACCTTTTTTTATGGAGCAGCAGCCAAATATTTGCACTGTCTCGCGACAATTGACTTTGATTGTGGAGCTTCTTTGATATAATACTCTCTCGCTGTATTTCGCTTGCTTTACATGCTACTGCTTGTCTGGCACGCCCCGGACAGAGCCAAGAACAATGTGAGATAACGCTTAACACAACAAAGTAGCCCCAGTGAAGTTGTCTTTTTGGTGATAATAAAAATTTCACGGTTGACGACTGATTAGCTGAAAACACGCTGACACTGCACTTTTTCGCTTTCTCCTAACCTACGCTCAGTTCTCCTTGGAGCTCTTGGTGAGGTTGAGATTGAGACTCGATATCAATTCGGGCTTCCCGAGATTGCCATTGTGCTCCACGGATTTGAGAAATTCAACGTAATACTCTGGCAGACCGCTCTCAATGGCGCCGTTGATCAGCACCTGAATATAGGAGTAGGATGGCTTGCGCTCCTCAATCCGCACGCCATTCTTCACGGGATAGTCGTCTGGGTTGTTCACCAGCTGGTACACGCGGCAGATGAGCGTCTCCCCGCGCGGAGTCTCAATTGGCAAGCTCAGTGGCTGATAGACGCCTCGATGGACGCCCTCCTGCTTATCCAGACTGTCCAGATTCTCCATGTCTATCTCCCATATGGCGCCCCACACGTTCTCCCCAGGCGCAGGGACAACGGTGGACGGCGCTCCGCCCCAGCGGGTGGCATAGTAGAAGAAATCGAGGCGATGATTCTGCAAAAATTGCCATTATCACCACCGTTAGTCCTTATCAGACAAATGTCACAGAATTGGGTCACTCTTCAATCACTGATATCGTGCTTACTTTCAACTTCCCGATATCTTTCCGGACAGCTGTTGGATTCTTGATGTGAATCCTCTTGGCAAGAAGATTGCTCCCGTATGCAAAGTAGAGGAATTTATTCCCAATCACCTCCGGCAACGTCATACCGATGACTGCCTGTAGGACAAAGCACACCACAAATAGCCTCATATTGCAGAACTTATTAAGTTAAATTGATATCAATGGACGAGTTAATTCTGACGGACAGCAATTTTGGGGGACCCAAAAGTCTCTGATCCTGTGCGACTTGACTCAATGAAATCAAACGCGCAAATAATTTATGAGAATACATACTTGGTGGCATCTGAGGCCTAATCAGTATCACAGCCCAGATTATTTATTAAACACGCGTCCGGTTTTTTTGATTTCACTCTCCTCCTCGTACAACTTATCCAGGAAAAACGTAAACACACTCACTCTCTGCGCGTCACTCGCGGAGTCAGAGATCACCCTGAATCCGCAGCAGAACATATGATTTCGAATTCACACGCATACACACTCCGCGCTCATATCGCCTTCGAACAGGTGTTTTCGAAAAATATCGCCACCCAGAACAATGAATTCCGGGAAAATTATTTTTACACCCACCAAAGTATCAGTAGTTGGGCCTGAAGTTTTCTAATTTAGTTATTGGGGAACTGAAATCTGTGTCACATTTTTCAGAAAGTTATAACATGAAATCATGAAAGGGGTTGGATAAACATACAGCGCAGTGTAATTGCACGCGCGATAACAGAATTTCGAAAAAAATGGCAAGTGCGCCTTTGACGGCGGACACTAGAAGTAATTTGCATCTAACGAAATATTCGGGTTTTGTTGTTTTCCAACAAATTCACTGATTCTCATTAATAATCCTTATTTATCATGTATTTAGTAAGTGCCGTGTCACGCCGTGCAGTGATATCGACAGTGAGCTGCACAAGAAAGTGTTTATATAGTGGCAAAAGTCTCAGAACTGTGTCAACATGGAATCTAACCTCAAATATCGACCTTTGGAGGCAAGGAAAAGTGCCCTTTATCTTGAGCCAGAACAGGGAACTACTGAGGGATGGTGTCAGGCTGAGAGCCACTGCGGTTCCCCAGAGGTTCTGCACAAATAGAGCCGCTGACTCAGATTCGGATGAGCCTCCGGAGGAGGCGCCTGAGGACATCCTCTCAACACATTTGCCAGCAACAGTGGCGATTCCTGAGGTGTGGCCCCACTTGCCGGTAATTGCCACGCGGAGGAATCCAGTGTTTCCACGATTTATGAAGATTATCGAGGTCACAAATCCCCTCCTAATCGACCTGATAAGGCGGAAAGTGAAGCTGAATCAGCCTTACGCTGGTGTCTTCCTCAAGCGCGACGACGAGAACGAGAGCGAGGTCGTGGAGAATCTCGCGGACATTTACGATGTGGGAACGTTTGCTCAGATCCAGGAGATGCAGGATCTCGGGGACAAACTTCGGCTTGTCCTCACTGCTCATCGAAGGATAAAAGTCGTGGGACAACTGTTTGAGGACTTGGATTCACCGCAGGGCAAAGGTGAGTCTGCATTGAGCGCGTAATGCCGGATATTTATAATGAACTCTTCATATTCAGACATGAAACTCAATTTTCCGATGTTTAATGTGAAAATGCACGTGTCAGCTGAGGAACCGGACGCCGAGAAGAGGAGACGCAAGCACCGAGTGCAGAGGCTGATCAAGCAAGTGCGCAATGCTAACAACGATTCGCCTAGTGAGACCGAAGTGAAGTCCCTGGAGGAGGCGGAGAAGGCGAAAGAGGCCAAGCGACGACCGCTGGTGGAGGGAGAGAAGCAGCCTGTGCTGATGGTGGAAGTAGAGAACGTGAAGCAGGAAGCCTTCAAACAAACAGAGGAAGTGAAGGCTCTCACGCAGGAGGTGATCAAGACCATTCGCGACATCATCACCATGAATCCTCTATACAGGGAGAGCCTCCAGCAGATGCTGCACCAGAACCAGAGGGTCGTGGACAATCCCATTTACCTCTGCGATCTGGGAGCCTCGCTCTCAGCGGCAGACTCGCCAGAGCTGCAAGCCATTTTGGAGGAAATGGACGTAAGTTATGCTTTATCTGCTTTTTCATACAATTTTATGACTCAAAAGTCGCTCATTAGAGCAACCAAAGAAACGTTTTTATTAATTAACACCACAGAGATAATGTTCATGTACTTTATTCAATATTCCATGAGCCAAAGTATTGTTTAGGATTCGTCAAATTATGCAAGGACCTTTTTAACGATTTCCTCATCGCATTTCAACCAAGTGAGAGAAACCTCGCAATTCTCCTTTCCAATTTTGTTGGCGCATTTCTTGAGGAAAGCGTCGACTTTTTCCTTCGGAATTTCAGTCGTGAGCATTTTGATGGTTCCCTCAGCATCGAAACTGTTGTCCTCCTTGAGGAATCCGAGTTTCCTGCTCAAGCAATCCGCGTAGCAGCCAACGGGCTTCGTAACCGACGGATCGTCATTGCGGAACTTGAGAAGTTGATCAGGAGTTACGTTGGTCTCCTTCAGGCACGTGTCCTTGAACATTATCACATCCTCTGACAAAGATCCGGGATGAGCCTTAAGAAGCGAACAAAATGTACTTTAATAGGGGAGAAAAACAGTGTTTTATGTATTTATACAAACCGAAACTGCAGAAATCGCACAAACTAAAACCACAACTCCAAGGAAATTCATCGTGTCTAATTCAATCACTGTTCTGGTTTTGAATGACTTCTGATCTTCAAGTGTGTTGTATTTATATGAATATTTTCAGGTGGTTTATGAGAGATGAAAAAATTATTGCCTTAATTGGTGTTACGCGTATTTTAGTAAACACTTTGTTAAGTTTAGTGGTAGAAGATCTGGTGTAAGTCAAAATTTCATGATCAATAGGAAAAAATTTAATAGTTATTTGTGAATCTGGTTACATTTTTGCAAAGCTGAATTACGTCAAAGGAAGTGATAAAAGATCTTTTTTTTAGAAAAACGCGTTTAGTTACTAATTTTTTTTGTTAATTATTGCGATTGTTTGGTATTATTGATAACTTTGGGATAATTTTCATGAAGTTTATTCAATATTTACATGAGCTGAAAGCTTATTTAGGACTCATGTTCAATGATTCGTCATACGAATTAGGCAAGGACCTTTTTAGCGATTTCCTCATCGCATTTCAACCAGTTGAGCGACACTTCGCATTTCTCCTTTCCAATTTTGTTGGCGCATTTCTTGAGGAAAGCGTCGACCTTTTCTTTCGGAATTTCAGTCGTGAGCATTTTGATGGTTCCCTCAGCATCAAAACTGTTGTCCTCCTTGAGGAATCCGAGTTTCCTGCTCAAGCAATCCGCGTAGCAGCCAACGGGCTTCGTAACCGACGGATCGTCATTGCGGAACTTGAGAAGTTGATCAGGAGTTACGTTGGTCTCCTTCAGGCACGTGTCCTTGAACATTATCACATCCTCTGACAAAGATCCGGGACGAGCCTTAAGAAGCGCACAAAATGCACTTTAATAGAGGAGGAAAACAGTGTTTTATGTATTTATACAAACCGAAACTGCAGAAATCGCACAAACTAAAAACACAACTCCAATAAGACTCATCGTGTCTCTCAAATTCAATCACTGTTCTGGCTTTGAATGACTTCTGGTCTTCATGTGAGCTGTTTTTATATGAATATTTTCAGGTGGTTTGCGAGAGATGAAAAAAATTATTGCTTTTTTAATTGTTGTCACGCGCATTTTTGTAAACACTTTACTGAGATTACTCATGGTGGATCAGCTTAAAGTTGGAATTTAATTGCCCATACAAAGAGTTTAATTTAAATTGGGTGGATTTTTGCAGAGCCGAATTGCGTCAAAACAAACGATAAATAAGAGATGTTTATTTCCTCTTTTCTTTGAATGAAGTGAATGTCAAGTATTTTCAGAGAATTAATCATAGCACAAAATACATTTTTGTGAGCTTTTTATCTTTCATACAAATTGAGAAATACAAATTCTGTACAACATTCTAACTCTCACTAATAAGAAATGCAGCTTTTTCAGAGCAATGAAGTTGCCTATAAAAATTATTTGACTAAAAATAGGCAGTTAACACTGCGTCAAAGTGCATTGCTTTAATTGCAAATGATTTAAATTGTTTCCACGCGAATTTTTTGTATTTTTAAAATAAGTTTTACGATGTTGATATTTAATGTTCTGTAATGAAATGCCTGTTTTGTTCCCATGCAACTATTACTCACTTTGCACGTAAAATGGTTTTCCCACAGATTCCAAAGCGTCTTCTGCTGTCTCTCTCTCTGCTGAAGAAGGAGCTGGAGCTGTCGAAGCTGCAGCAGAAGATTGGGCGCGAGGTGGAGCAGAAGGTGAAGGAGCAGCATCGCAAGTACATTCTGCAGGAGCAGCTGAAGGTGATCAAGAAGGAGCTGGGCATTGAGAAGGACGACAAGGATGCCATTGGGGAGAAGTACCGCGAGAGGATCAAGGAGAAAATCGTTCCACCGGCAGTGTCGGCTGTGATTGAGGAGGAGTTGAACAAACTCAACTTCCTAGAGAGTCACAGTACGGAGTTCAATGTGACGAGGAACTACCTGGATTGGCTGACTTCCCTGCCCTGGGGCGTGATGAGTGAGGAGAATCTGGACTTGGATCGCGCCACAGAGATCCTGGATGCCGATCACTATGGCATGGAAGACATCAAGAAGCGGATCCTGGAGTTTATTGCCGTGAGTCAGCTGAGAGGCTCGACGCAGGGGAAGATTCTGTGTTTCCACGGGCCGCCGGGCGTGGGAAAGACGAGCATTGCGCGGTCAATTGCGAGGGCACTCAACAGGGAGTATTTCAGGTTCAGTGTGGGCGGCATGACGGATGTGGCGGAGATCAAGGGACACCGGAGGACGTACGTGGGAGCGATGCCGGGGAAGTTGATACAGTGCCTGAAGAAGACACAGACGGAGAATCCACTGGTGTTGATTGATGAGGTGGATAAGATCGGCAGAGGTTACCAGGGAGATCCGCAAGCGGCGTTGCTTGAGTTGCTGGACAAGGAGCAGAACAAGAACTTCCTGGATCACTACATTGACGTTCCTGTTGACTTATCGCATGTCCTGTTCATTTGTACAGCCAACGTTTTGGACACCATCCCGGAACCACTGCGGGATCGCATGGAGATGATCGAGATGTCAGGATATGTGGCTGAGGAGAAACTGGCAATTGCCAAGCAGTACTTGATTCCTCAGGCGATGGAAGAGAGTGGCTTGAAGAACGAACAGATTGCTATTCGGGACGAGTCTCTGTTGAAGTTGGTAAAGAATTACTGCAGAGAGTCTGGCGTGAGGAATCTGCAAAAGCACATTGAGAAGATCATCCGGAAAGTGGCGTACAAGGTTGTGCGCAAGGAGGCTGAACATCTGGACGTGACAGAGGAGAGCTTATCCACGTATGTGGGAAAGCCCATCTTCACGCAAGATCGCATGTACACAGACACGCCGGCGGGAGTTGTGATGGGCCTGGCGTGGACAGCGATGGGAGGATCAACGCTGTACATCGAGACGGCCAAGAGGAAGTACCTGGAGGCTCCGGAGAAGACGGACAAGGGCGGTCCAGGTGATGGTTCGCTGCAATTGACGGGCCATTTGGGGGATGTGATGAAGGAGTCTGCTAGAATAGCCCTGACAGTGGCGAGGAATTATATTCATGACATTGACAAGAAGAATGCCTTCCTGGAGAGTGAACACATTCATCTCCACGTGCCCGAGGGAGCCACACCGAAGGATGGACCCAGCGCTGGCATCACGATAACCACTGCCCTGCTCTCCCTGGCGCTCAATCGTCCCGTGAGGAAGGACATCGCGATGACTGGAGAGGTTTCCCTCACGGGAAAAGTCTTGCCAGTCGGAGGAATCAAAGAGAAGATCATTGCGGCCAAGAGAACAGGCGTGACGTGCATAATCCTCCCGGATGAGAACAGGAAGGATTTCACGGAATTGCCTGACTACATCAAAGAGGGACTGGACATCCACTTTGTGGATAAGTACGAGGATGTGTTCAGGATTGCCTTTCCCCAGTAAAGCGAAGTCATATTGTGGTGTTGGCAATAAAAGAAGAGTGTTAACTAACTAGCGAAGGTGGATTTTATTACCTTACGATCCCCATTCTACGAGTTTAACATGTCCATTGGGTCTGGTGCGCTTCTCCCTCTTGAGATTGACGCTAGGAAGCGTGAGGTGCATCACCGGCGGTCCTGGTGGGGTTGGAGCGTCTGGTATGATCTTCAGTGGTGGCAGTGGACGAATCTTCCTGCCATGTCGACCGGTTTTCCTCTGCCACAGGCCAGATCGCGGGCGGTAGCCAAGCTCTCGCTTCCTCTGCGGCGTTCCCACGTGCTCCTTGTTGTGGTTCACATTGGACACTCTGCCCACAGTGGCCATGCAGATTTCCCTCAAGGCGAACTCCTTCTTGGACGGCATCTGCACCACCACATAGTCATCGAACTTCCTCGTGATCGTCCCAAAGGTGCCCGCAGCGTGAATCATGTGACACGGCTCTCCTGGGAACTTCTCCACGCAGTGCACTTGAGTGTGGATGGGCAGAGCTCCCAGCGGATAAGCGTCACCCTCGTTTGCCCTCACGGGAATCCTGGGAATCACCCTGGATGTCTTGATGAGGTCGCCTGGCTTCATATTCTCCGTGGCCAGGATGTACTTCAGCTCGTCTCCAACGCCGACGAGGGCGATCTTTGCCGTCCGGCAACCATCGAAGAGGACATCCAAGACTTTCTCCACCTGCGGCGGTCCTTCTGTTGGTCCATCTCGCTGCCACTTGATCCAGTGATACTTGTGCTTGATTCCACCACCAATTCCCTTCGCCACGACACGTCCCGTGACCGGATCTCGGCCCGCAAGGTTGGTCACTTCAAGGGGTTTGATGGTGTACTCTTCGGGGAAGTGAACAATCCTTCGGAATGCCTTTCCTCGCCCAATTTGTGGCAATTCGATATTCCACAGGCACTTGTGCGCCTTGGTGCGACTCTGCACGATGACTGGACTTCTCACCACCGTCCTGGAGATCTGCAGTCCCCGGAAAAGAAGCGACAAACTGGACATTTTTCCTCCCAGCTGTTTAACCTCACTTTCAAAATAACCACACACCGCAGCGCCACCAAGTGGACACACTTGAAGAAGCAAATCCACACTACGCGCCAAAATAATAGAGCCTCGAAAAGACTTTCCTTTGAAAATGGCTAAATTGTATTTCATCTTAGGTACATTATAAATAATTCAAAATTTCACTTGATATTTCAGGGCACATAGTATTAATAAATAAACAAATCTCAAGAATTTTAGACCGCCAAAAATCATAACTGTTATTTGGATAACAAAAATGTATCATTTTCATAATTCATATCGATTAATATTCGAACATTGTTAGGTACTTAAGGAGCTACCATCCTCTAAAAAGTCTCCACTTTACAGAGAGGAAAATGATTGAGAAAATAGATTTAAGCGCTTAATATGCAGAGAGCAATATGGAAAATATAAGTGACATACGTCCCAAAATTTATATTATAATGCCATCCAGCAAGACTCAACAAGATTAACTAACGCAACATGCTTTTGATTCACGCTTGTGTTCACGACACTCTCCGGGCAAACGTGTCTTTTGTAGCCAAGAATTGCCATATATAGAGCCATAATGTGAGGGAAATTAAAAAAGAAAAATCCTTTGCTATGTATCTTCAACTAAAATATGCAACGGTGTCCAGGTTTCGCGCCAGTGTGTCTCTCTCCCGCTTCTTAAAAAATACTACAATAAATCCACCCAAATGCTGGATTAAACAGGCACACTCGTGGCATTGGCGCGACGCTGTCGAGCTCCTCTGCCCGTTAACAAATAGGACAAGTCCATGGCCGGCAGACTTTCTGGCTTTGTGCTCTTCAGGCGGTTCATTAGGCGCGTGAGAGTCTCTTCCAGGCGGCTCCTCTTCTCATGCAAAGTCTGCAAAACAGAGGACGAAACACATGAGCAATGCATCAGAGCATAAAAGAGCATAAACCTTACTTTTGGCGGAGGTGGCATTAATTGAATGATTGATGTGGAATTCTTTCTCGAAGCAATGGGTATTTCTTCCTTGCGCTTCTTCTGCTTGGGTGGCATCGGACCTAAATCATGAGGCTGCAACAATGTGACACAGTGAGCAAATAATAGAGATTCTACGGTGAATGACAACCAGTAAAATGTTTCCTTACCGCATATGTTCGTGAGATCTTCAGCCGCTGCTCGTACTTGCGGAAGGCGTAGCTCTTGGTGCACACCGGATTGGCCTGCTTGGAAACCTTGGAGAAGAAGCGAGCTCCCTTGTCCACCCTCAGTTCGCAGATGTAAATGTGATCCTCCTCGCTGTCCACGGGTCGTCCCTTGCAGTAGGTGTTCACATCCAGCACCCAACACCTGGCCATGATCAGTTCAATTGGCACCACTTCGTACAGCGGCACGCGGACCACTTCGTTGGGATAGAACTTCCTCGAGGGCTCATGGTAAGTCTCATGCGGTCGCAAGTAGTGATGGCCAAAGACGAAACGCTTCCCGTTGTTGTCCTTCCACAGTCTCTCCACGCGAAAGATGTCACACTCTGAGTAGTCAATGTCTCCAATTGTCTCGTACGTGTGCTTCCGCGGCGCTTGACTGTTGGAATTCTTGGGATCGGGATCCATTGGAATATCTCTGAGAACGTACACAGTGTCAGTCTGCCGTATGTGCAGATCACCTCGCAGTAGCGACAAGTAGTATCTGTAGCCCTCATCTGTGAACTCCTCCAGCGGAATTTCCAGATTCACTGGCCTGGGATCACACTTTTCACACCGATAACTCTCAGCTTCCGTGTCCGCCTTCGTGCACTCCGTGTGTTGCCACACTTGACAGTCTGAGCACTGAATCATCAGTCCTTCGTCCTTAAACAAGCCACAAATGCACTGAATGACATCCTCATTGGGCTCCGCCTTCAGCACCAACTCATTCACTTTCGACCTCTGGAAGCCCTTGAGTGTTTCCTTGTCGTCAACAATCTCCAACAATTGCGGATAGACCAACTGCTTCTTGTTCGTGAACAGCGTAAGAAGATTCTGAGCTATTTTCATCTCATCTGACGTCGCTGGATAGAATTGTATGGCATTCTTGAATAGTCTCTGCACATCCTCATCGAACATTGCGGGATTCTTGTACACTCCTCGCTCCACATTCGCCTCAATCTGCGCCATATCGATGGGCTTCGTCACTACCTCATAATACTGCGGTAGTTTCTTCTTAGCCGGCAGCGCCAGCTTGTTGATGGCATAGTGCGGTCCACTCTCCTTAAAGCTACAAATATCCCGACAGAGATCCTTGAAGATCGCTGCCATCTTCGCCATCTTGTCAATCTGAGGATCATGATCGCCCACCGTGAGTCCCCTAGTCCGGATGTTCCTCGGCGCACGCAATTCTGTAATTCTCGTGAGGAGAGTTACTGGTGAGGGAACTGGTGCCTGAGGCTGCTGTGTCAAACGCTCCTTCAATCGACGAATCTACGGAGGAAAACCATTAGCAATTGAAAAATAATTTAAACTCCTCCTCAAACTCACCTTCCCGAGATTCCTCATGAGGAAACAGTGGCTCTCCTTAATGATGATCAACTCCTTGTTGGATGGCACCTGGAACAGAGGCGTTCCTGACCGATCTTTACCAGTGTTCTGCACAAGATTCTTCTTCGCCGTCCTCTTTCGTGATCTTCCCCTGGAAGCAGCATCATCACCATTACTCGCCTTCTGATGGTTTCCACTCTGCTGATCCACTGGCGGCGGTTTCACTCTCTGAGACTTCCCACCAATCACTCCACGACATGATGAGGACTCACAGAGACACGGTTGACCCTCAGTGGGATTGTACAGGGCAAAGTTGTAATCATAGGTCAACTCTTCGCCCGCCTTGATGTCCCTGGCGGCAAACAGCACCATCCTGGGCAGTCCATTCACACTCCATTTCTGCATTTCGCAATTCGGGGCGCACGAGTGGTTAACAAAACGCCCATCACTGCCCATGCGGTGTCCATCAATCACCAGTCCCCCATCCAAATGCAGACAGTAGTGGTGAGTGTCGCGGACATAGAGTGTAGCCATTCGCTCCTTGAACTCCCGCTCTGTGACCACTTCACCCACATACTCGAGTATGAAGTTCCCCTTCTTGATGGGCAGTCGCGTCCGGACGCCCCATCCCTTGTTCGCCGTCATGTATCTCTCCAATCCAGGTGAGTACTCATGCTTCTGAATCTTCGTATTCTGACACTTGTCGCCACACGGACAAGATTCCGAGTTGCATTCTGTGTAAACCACTCGATTCAGACAATCCTCACCGCATCCCGTGCTAGGATTGCAACTGCACGAAGGCTGATCCGTCCTGGGATTCGCTTTCACGTCAATGTAAACATTTGTGCGGATCTTCTTGTAGTTCCAACTTGGAACGCTATTTCTCCCAGGCAACTTCTGATTCTCATGCGCCCACCAGAGATCATAGGGCAGAAGGAAATCCCTCTGGGTCTTGCGGAAGAATCGCTCACAATACGGCGGAGGAGGTAGCAATATCTGAGAAGGTCCTTCCTCTGATCGACTGTGCTTCTTTCCTTCCTCCTCCTTGAATGTGTCCGAGAGCAGACCAGCATTGAGATACTTCTTCTTCCAGCGTGAAAACTTCCTTCCACTCTTCTCACTGGCCACACTCACCGGCGAATCTTCCCGTGGAGGCACTCTAGACGGCCCTTCGCTTATGGGCAAAGGCTCTTGCTCCAATTCCTCCATCAACTGAGGTGATGATTGAGTATTGACTGAAGGTTTCACATCAGGAGACTTCATCTTGACTGGAGATTCGTGAGCTTTGGCATCCTTATACTTCTCAATCTTCTTGGGTGACTTGGCCACTTGTTGCCTCTTTTCCAGACTCATTTCATCGAGATCCACAGGCTTCCTCTCCACACTCTTATCCTTCGCACGCGTCTTCACAGAACTCTTTTCCTTCTCAGCCTCCTTGAGCTTCTCCTTTGGTTTCTCCTTCTCCACCACCTTTTCCTTCTCCTTGCTCTCAAGCGCCGGCTTGGCAACTGTATTAGCTGTCCTATTCCTCGTGGTTCTCTCAGTTTCCTTTGATACCACTTTTGGAAGCTCCTTGCGAGGTTCTGGAATCTTCAGTGACACTTTCAGAGACATTTCCTTCGTAGCCACTTTACCATTGTCTTTCGACGCCTCCCTGGATATTGCCAAAGGACTCAATTTCACTTCCATCCTAGATTTTGGTCGTGGCGATCGCTCAACAGGACTCGAAGATGGAAATAGAGCAACTGATGATGATCTTGAGGTGGTTCTCTTACCCAGGATAATTCCACTGCTTCCATCCATTGACTCCAACTTAACCACCGGCTGCATTTCCGCCTCCAATTTGTTCTTCTTCTCAATCTCACTCTGCAATCGTGTCCTCTTCGCGGATTCCGGCAGTAATTCATTGGGCGTGAGATTGTCAATGAGAGCACTTACACCCTTTCTGCGCGGTCGCTTTCTCTCATTGGGCTTCACAAGATTAATCAGAGGTTCATTGTCAGACGACTGATCGCGTTGCTTTGAAGTCTCCTCTTCCTTGAACTTCTTCGCAATGGTGGAAACAGTTGGACTCTCCTGAGAACTGTCACGATCCCTCTTCTTCTGTTCACTTGACTCATCGCGATGTCTTGTTCTCAGCTGACGCTTTCCCAAATCCGGAATCTCTCCATTTGCTATACTCTTTCGAGTCTTCCTGTCCACACCAAAGGGATTAATCACCATGCGACTTGAGGACTCTTCGGGAATCTTTCCTTGAAGCCTCTCCAAGCTCACCACTGACAATCTCGGACGGTTGTTTCTCTCCATAAAAATATCCGCCGTTTCTCCCACCTTCGGCACACGATCGCAATTCTCCGCGATCTTCTTTACATTCTCAACTGTCAAGGGATGAACTTTAGGCGATACCTGAGTCTCTTTTAGGCCATCATTCCAGGGCACTTCTAGCGTATTGTCACGTGTGATCTTTTTCTTCTTCTTCACACTCGGAAATCCCGTTCTATTTATCGTCTTTCGCCGTTTTCTCTTCGTCAGTGGCCTTCTTGTCTTGCTGAGTAGTGTCTCCACAACTTTCTCCGTCCTCCTTGCCAAACTCTCATTTGTATCCACCGTTCCGATGGATTCTGTCACTCTAGGCGAGTCCAGAGCCTCAGTCTTGGTCACCAAGCTCGGTACAATGATGGTAGAGACAGGAATTTGAAGTTCCAAATCAATGGATGGCTCAAAAACACCCGGAGGTGGACCTGAAGCAGAAATTTTACTGATGACAGACGGTCGACCAGAGTGACTCTTCTCACTCTGACTCTCTCCCGATGGAGACGCTTGCATCTTTGACACCAAGCCCTCCAATCGATTCTTCTTCCGCGTCATGATGTCCGATCGTCGACTCCTGAGATTGGCTCCCGAATCCACAACACTAATTTCACTGGAGTCCGTGGTTTTTGTGTCAATTGTTATAGGAGAATTGCTTGACTTTATGGCCGATGATATCTCATCCGTGATTATCGACGGTGGGTCTTGTTTCTCAATCAGATGTCTCTTCTTCGGCGTCACCGCCCTGGGTGGCATCTTTCCGGGATCACCTGCAATGACGATATGTTAGCGCCTTTAAAACCAAACACAAAATATTTACTACTCACCTTTTGCCTCTTCTGCCATCATCTTGCTATCACTCTTCTCACCCGGCGTCAGCAGATAGTGTCTCTTCTTCAGCGGAAGCTTGTGATCATCTGGACTTTGGGTTGATTGCGTCTTCTTGTGCCTCCTCTTTCCGCCTCCGCCACTCGTTGACGGCGAGTCGGCAGTTTCTGCCACTTTCCGCTTCTTCGTAGCCCGTTTGGAAGTTGTCTTAGGCGCCGATTCTTTCGTTACACTCCTCTCCGCACTGATATGGCAAGCCGCCCCGAAGGAGGCGATCAACTGATCCAGCTCCTGCAGAAACTTGGCGTCAGTCACTCGACTAGCTACACTCTCATTCCGCGACCTCAGGCGCTTCCTGCGACGTCGCCTAAGATGATGTCGCGACATGGTTGATCGACTGCTGCATCGACTCACTGCCGAAGATCGTCTTGATCTAATGGCAGCAGCTCTGGCCGGAGATTTCAAACACGCCACCTCTTTTCCCTTCTGTCCGGACTGCTGCAAGAGGCTGCCGAAGGAGCAGACACTGTCATCGAGTCTCTTGGCGGCTCCTTTTGATTTTCCAGCCGAAATCGACCCGAATGTCGATAGTGACTTGCTCTTGCCACCAAAGGCACCGTCCAATGCCACACTCTTTCGATTAGCAACATCCTTCAAGGACATTTTTGAGTTACTCGCCTGCGAGAAGAGGGAATGATTCTGACCCACTTTCAGTGATCGCGCCATAGCGCTGAAAGCCCCGTTGAATGTGGACGTGGAAAAGAGATTCTCACTGGTCTTGGCCACTGGCGTCACCGCCTCCACGCTATTCTCCTCACTGGACTGCCCAAGACTAAGTCCCGCCAGCTGCAGAATGTCCTGCTCTGTCACCGCTGACTTCTGACTGTTGGTCTTCGTGCGACGTTTTCGCCTCACCTTCTTCCTATGCCGAATACTGCAGTCACTCCTGTAACCACAACTCTTTGCCTTCACACTGTAATCACTCCGATAGCCACTCTTCTTGCTCTTTGTACTGTAATCACTTCGATAGCCGGACAGACGACGCCTCCTCACGGCCCCATAGTCACTTGTGTAGCCACTCTGAGATGCCAAAACCTTACTGCACACCGTTCCACCATCACTCTTGTACCCACTCACACTGGGCCGCCTGAATTTCTTATTGATGTCAATTTTGCGCCACATCGGATCCACTGTCTCCTCCTTTTTGGCCTCCTTGGACTTTGTCGGCGGCCTCCCAGGACCGCGACGTCGCCCACGCGGTGGATACAGCACCCTCTCAGTGGCATACATGCTCTTGTCCAGACTGGAAATATTGATCTTCGTGGGTGTCGTGGGAACTGGCGTCTTTCGCGTGGCTACTGGCACAGAGTCAACTTTCCTCGCACTCCCACTCGCTGCACTCCTTGCACTAGGCCCGCGTTTCGCCTCTGTTCTCGGCGAATGCGATGGACTCTGCGTAATGGAGAGAATCCCAGAATCTGGTGATCCGCTCGTTGTTGTTGCACTCTTTGCCGCTGGTGCAGCAGGTTTCTCAATCGTTGGATTCTTCTTTGGCCTTCCGCGCTTCCTCTTCACTTCCACTACAGGTACATTCTCTTTACTCTCCACAGATGCGCTGCTCGTCGCCACTGCTGCAGTGCTTTTGCTCCCCGATGACGATGCCGTTGGCGTCAGTGATTCACTCTCCAGCTTCCCAGCACTTCCCTTATCACCAGATCCACTGGGACCTTGAGGCAGTGAAGTCTCTTCCGCCAGCGATGAGCTTGTCTTTCCCAGCATCTGCGTCTTCACCATGAAATCCAGCAGCAGCGGTGAATTGTATGTCACCGGAGGAGCTGACGGTCTCCCGCTCGCCTCACTGTCTGAGCAATTCTCCACCAACTGTATAGCTGCATTCACAATAGCCGGCAATTCCATGTCACTCGACGAGCCACCATCAGCACACGCATCCGTGAGTGACGATGGCACACTCGAAGCTATCTTCACTTGGCCAAATCTCGATGCATTTGCCGCTTGCGTGGTGGATGATGTCTGTGTTGGTGCAGACGCTCCGGAAGTCGCTGGATTATCGAATTCATTGAAACTTTCAGTGGGTAGAATAGCCGCCAAATCCTCCGGATTGATTTCCTGCAGAACTTCATCACTTGATTCTGAATCACTTGAGTCTGTTCGTCCACCACTGCTCGTCGATGCACTCCGATTTGCCTGAAATCAGAAGAATGACCCAATTCAGTCAACTAATTCATATGTTCGGAGCAGAATATAATTTAAATTTCTCACATCACTAAATTTAGTGAGACAGAAAAAAAACATTATCCTTTCATTCCGCCCGCACGAATTTAAATGTCCTCTTCAGCGGTGCTGCTAATGATACCTCACAAAAATTAAACCACAAAAACTACCACAAATTGGCATGTCCTCCAAGTGAACAGCATAAAACTTAATGAGCATTCCGTACAGCATGGCCAAATTACCGTACACAGAGCAGCTCCTTCATTAGAGTGGCTACTTATATAAGACAACTTTTAATTATTCACCTTCTGCTTCTCTTCGTCGCCATTGGAAATAGTGATAATTTGAATTTTTAATTTGGCCATATTTCCTTCTTAAGCAAAAGTGTCTCTCACTTGCATCTGCATTTACATATTTTAAACCGTAAAATCGATTTTCCTCTCTATTTCATGCTCTTTAACTCCTCATCATTCAATTTGTCTGCCAAAACCAACCCTCATTGAGACAAGAGACGAAAAAAAATGTGTTTTTCCGTACACCTTACATTCAATGAAACCAAACAGCGAACAAACATTCGACAGACGAGCGTAGAACACTCGTGTGAAGGCGAAAGGGTCATTTCACTTTGTGTAGTACATTTATTGCGATCAATAGGCCAAACAGCGCCACACCAGCATGTATATATTTTTCTTTTTCTTCCTTTGGATTGCATATTAAAAAGCCAACAATGAGGAAGTTGTAAAAAAAAACAGGACTCGCAGAGTAAAGCAAAAAGTGTACATTTTCGTTAAAAATAGAAGTTCAACCCCACGCACATGAACTCATTATACCTTAGGGGTGATTTGTGAGTGCAAACAAACCGCGACAGGGCTAAGAGAGGGTAATTTCTCTATATAGTTTTTATAATGCACCCCTTTTGCAAGAGACGCCTCGTCAAATAGAAACTTTCACTATATGGTCTTCACCTTCCACCCTCTTTTTTCATTCCGCACGAGACTTAATAGATTTCCACACCGCCTTCATTGCACTTTTCTGTGTGCTATGCAAAAGTGGTAAAAAAAAACAGAAGTTAGGGCGGGAGTTTGGTTGAATTGTTTTCACTCTTTGGCTTGCATATTGCGCGTTCTTTGAAGATTGGGATTCTTTTCAGATCTTTTTTGGTGTTGATAAATAGCAAATAAAACAATATATTGCGAAGGCAATTAAAAACTTCTTAAGCGCTTCATACTTAGGCTTTGAAAGCTAATATATTTAAGACTCTTCACTCAGTCTTCATGGATGGAAAGTTAAAGTTTTACGTCTGAGTTTATTCACTCAGTGTCTTCAGGTTCTCAATCAAGATATAGCGTTCATAATTACGTGCAGTATATAAATATCTAAGTTTCAAACTTGCATTGCCACAGTGGTGTAGATGTTAAACAAATTTTAAAGTTTCTCTTATATTTCTTATCCATAGTTAAATTCATTTTCACCCTCGAGTCAAATAATTTACAAAGCAAATATATAAGAGAATTCAACCGACTTCCTTCACATCTTCCCATCTTATTAGTAACAATCTCTGAAGTGCAAATTCAAATCTCTGCCTATTGTAAGTCACTTTTTCCCCCATTTTCTCTTCTTGCCTGTGTTTCTGATAGTTACATATTGAGCAAAATATCAATTTTCAGTTTCAATTTTTTTTCCTCTGGAATGGAAAGCACATGAAATACATTCTCTCGGGACTGAAGCTGAAGAATGACTAAGCGTTTCCCATTTTCATTCCCACTAAGTATCAACCCACCCGCAACACCACACCCTTCACATTGCCACCATGCATGCAGATTATTTTCCAGGGTGCGAGCAAAAAAAGGGGGATATAATATTAATCCTCATGCCCTGCGGACACCTTTCGCACCACCAACAATGGGGCGCCGAAAGAAAGTCTCTCGCAGGCCAAGCAGAAACGCACTCTTGCAGCTTAGAGGAAATTGTATCAAAAGGCTCGAGCCATTAGAAATCGTGCCTTAAGTGGTGAATTTTAATTGAAACACGCAATTCTCCCTCCAACAAAAACCCAGTCAATTATATATACTCCATGCTTAAGTTGAAAAAAAAACTATGTTATGCCGACAATGTTTTTCTCCTTCACTTTGGTTAGAAATAGAGTGAGAAATTTGAAAATAATAGACAGAAAGAGAGTTTTGCCTATTTCCAACCATAGAAGCTCTTTTCATCGTTTGAATATTCCATTTGGTGAAATATTCAGTGGTTTTCAATTAAAAGATTAAAGGATACGTTGGAAAATTGATTTTTCAGTCCCAAATTCCTAGTCTTTCTCGCCTCCGGACAGACTCTATCGAATGTTGATTAAAAAGGATCAGCTTAGAATCGATATTTTTCTATGATGTAATTACCTTTTCACCATATTTATGGTGAAAAGGGTTTCGAACAGAAGTTTCCACTCTCTCCATTTGGGACACAACCAATCTAATTGGATTCTCGCAAGGGTTATTCAATCACCCAAAACTTCTCAAAAACAGATTCTGGGTTGCTTTTGACGAAAAGTGAGGAAGAAAAAAAAACATAAAGGACAACTTTCAGAACCGCTTCAGTGTGATAGAAGATAAATCACAGACGAAAGCTATAAAACTCCTGAGTTTTCCAAACTGAGTTTAATCACAACGTGAATTTTCTTTATCGCCATTAATAGAATTTTTCTGCACTCTGAAAGAAACTTTTTGATTGCTTGTCATTGCTAAATCGATAACTCAGGACTTTAATGTACTTTTATTTCATCTCTAGTTTGTTGCTTTTTTCCCAACTACAATGTGGGTAATTTGCCGTGAGATTTTGTATAAACACCACTGTAAATGCCCAACATGCTAACAAAGATGAAAAGTCGCTTCTGTGAGAAGTGGGATTACAGGAAAAAAAAACTGATGATTCCCCCATGAGAGGTCACTAATGTGTGCAAATCAGATGCTATTTCGGGACATGTTTTCTACACAGTCTAGGGATAAATCAATGGTGACACAGCACACAAGGATGATATATTTAACATTCATTTTATGCCCAATAAACCCTCCAATGTGTGCCGGTTCTACATCACTCACTTTTTTCCCTCCCTCCTTTAAAGCAAGGGCACCGTTGTGGCCAAATGTATGATACGCGGTGGTAACATTTTGTAGATAGAGTTAATTAAATTTTCATGACGCTTCAACTGAATATCTACATGTGTATCCAGACATTGTGTAATTTTTACCACAGGTACAACACAAAACACCCTCCTTCTGGACAGAGCTACTCCCCTCGCCGAAAAAAGCCAGACCGGGAGTTGAACACGTCCACTCGAGCCACACTGAATTATGTTGAAGAAATATTTTAATTTTATTAATTTATGATACTTCTGCAAAACCTCGCACTGCACAGTGTCTTTTTGCACGGCTCCCGCCTCTGCCATAGCCAACATTTTCTGCTCTTTTTCACAGCATTTACACTGCGACAAGCAAGACACTGTGTGTACACAGTGGTCAAATTATTCTATAAGTCATGGATTTTTAATAATTCCTTCTCTCCTGTCTTGTCTCCTTCTTTGTCTCTTTTATAAACGTGAATTTCTTGCCGAGGTATTTTCATCTTTCCCTCATCCACTTGTCCGGCAGCGCATTTTACCATCACAGCGCGTATAAATTACATTTTGGGTGGACTGTTGTCGCTTCGTTTGAGGATTTCACTCTCATGGAGGATGGTTGGTATGAAATAATTGTTATGAAGTTACTTCTTTTTTTTTCCCTCTCACTCACTGCCCTGCTGTTGGATGTGTGGCACCGAAAAGACAAAAATACACACAATATAGGGCGGTAAAGGATGATTATGATAAAGGAGGGTCGTCACAGTGAATAATTTTCTCGAATAACAAATTACATGGAGCCACACAGCAAATTTCAACAATACCTCTCCTTCTCTTCCTCTCAATTCTTCTCAAGACTCTCGTTAATGCTGTAATTGTATTTAATTCTCACATGTGAAATCTTGTAGCTCAGGAATAACAAAAAGAATATTCCCAAAAATATTTCGATTGGCCCGTCAATTTGCCAGTGAGAAGCAACATTTTACATTCAATATGCGCCAACGATGAGACTCTATCTCATGTTAAGCATAAAATCAAATAAAAGAATTGCCGCACATGAAAGCGAAAGAAAATTAAATCACACACAAAAGACCTACAAAATTTTAGGGTACAATTTGTGGTTTGTCATAATTTCAATTTGCAATGAAATATTTATGCGAGGTGATTTTTTGATTCTACAACACAACATCTTCACCACATTAACATTATATGCTCTCTTTATTCCCTCCTTTACATCTTGTTCACGTGAATTTTCGCGCAAGCTCCTCGCGCTGTCCTCTCGCCAGCCACAATAATAATCCAATTCAATATTATAAAGTACACTTATATTATATTTAATGTGGTATAAAGCAAAAGGGATACAACAACGTGATACGTTCTTGAAATACACAATTAGTTCAGGCATGTTTATTGCCCTTCTCGTTCTCTTTCTCTCTTCCCCTTTTTGCCTTATCTCCTTCGCACCAATATGTACATTATTTGAGCAATTCCGTCTTTTGCCATACACTTTTGCTAATCAAAGATCCCTCTATAATACCCAAATGCATTAAATCGCCTCCCTTTTGCTCTCCCCACGTTGGCGGCACTCACGCATCTTTCCCCCTATTCGTGATGACTCTAAATCACCGATTCTCTCATAAACATCACAACACATTTACCACTCATTCACCACAAAGATTATGCTTTGGTAAATAAAGTTAATTGAGATCTAATTAATTTCATATTATTATGTGTTTATTTAAATGTGCACACAATGAATTTCAGGGGAGATGTTTAATTTTAATTCACTTTTCAAGGTGAATTGCACCACTCCTCATAACATCTGCGGTTTATACATTCAATTGTATGCATTTGCAATGCTATA